CGGTCATCACAGTTACTCTATTGACGGCATAGTTATATTTTATGTGTATAAAGTTCCTGTAACAACGGGCGATGCCAGCTCATTCTAATGTGGCTTTGTGTCAGATCAATGTAAGTAAGACTCATAGCATTGGCTTAGATCAATGCGAACATGATAATTTCGTGATCGCTTTTACCTGTCGTTGAAATAGTCATTTTATTCGTATCGTCTTCACGAAGTGGGATCCGTCGTCAGCAAGTAACGAAATACTTGTCTAATTGTATAGCTAGGTTTAAAAGTGGCTCATTAGTTTCAATTATTTATGCATTGTGGACAATTTGAGGGCATTATGGGAAATAAGTTATGATACAGTGTCGTGCGGTGCATTAGGCAGCTAAACATGAATTTTCGAGTTATATCCTATAGGGGTACTTAGGCGATAGCTTTATTTTTGCCTTTCTTTTTTGATATTCGATGGACCCTGCGGGAAAAACTGTTACACTTTCCCGATGAGCTAGGCTACTTTACAGGTTTTTGTCAACCAGGAATCTCTCATCTATACCTCTGATGAGTTGTCGTTTCATTCATTACTTGTTTCGGTGGGAAAATTACAATGCGTAATGTTTTTGACTAATTCGGTTCGTGTTTATACAACAGATGTCTTTGGACCTAACGTAGCAGTTTGAGGAAATACTTGTCATTGTGTTAGTTTGGAGTTAGCTAACCTAGCTGGTCTAGACCTGACATGTCACAGTGGAAACCCTTGTTCTTGTGTTGTCGCTCCGCGGTTAATCTCACTAGTTGCATGTGACATTTTACAGTCTCTGAACTATATATAGGCAAAATACATACATGCACAAAAAGGGCGCCAAAAAGTAAATGTCCTGTCTTTTCGTGTTTCATCGTAGAGTACTGGTGTCTCGCTGTGGACATATTCAAGCGCGGGCGTCGAGTCTATCGTTCGAACCCGAATAACTACGCCGAACCCCTAGACGTACTGCTTGTTAGGCCTAATTGCGTTGACAGCAACGCCTTTCTTCTGAAAGTGTAACTTATTCGTCTAAACAATGCCTATCATTGGACCAGGGTGAATGACTCGAAATGGTTTAGGTAATGCTCACTGTTTGTGACACTTTCTATGATAAACTCAAGATTCGATCGTTAATCTCTTCCTTTTCATCGATAGTCGCTACAATATCTAGCTGGCACGTTTACCATAGTAAAGGTTTTGTGGATGGTACTTTTGGACAACCGTTACATTTTCAATGGCTGTGGAATAAATACACTGTTGTGAAAACATGGCGCTGGCATTGAAATGAGCCTCGACGACATTCATAGACGCAAACCCTAGGTAGCAGATAGACATTTACGTTGTGCCTGAGGCCAAAGGAGCGTTTCGCGGCATTGCGGAAAGAAACTCATATACGGACAGTAAATGTTACAAAAAAACCACGTAGCATAATTGTGAAATATATGCACGTTCAGAACAATGCCATGCACGCAGCAAACCGCTTGCCCGCCTGATTATGCAGAAAGATGTTTGATCTGAAACTGTTTCGGGATTACCCGGTCTGTCGTTCGTTGATCGTTTGTCGGTGAGCAAGTACTTGGTATGACTGCCAGAGATCCGAAAGAAATAACTTAGATGAACGAAGCATATCCTCGCGGATTTCCATCGGATTTTAGGACATGTCTATTTGAGGTCTGCAAGCTTGACACTTAATTGATTAAATAAGAGCTATAATCTTGCATAATCGAAAATAGGAGACAAACATTACTCGCAACAACCTTAAATGTGACAGCTATGCTTGCGTCACTCAGAATCGATTAAGTGTATTTTGTGCCTATTATCGGTACTTGGCAATTGAACGACCTTCTATTCAATGAACGCGTTTATCTGAACTGATTAGTAATCACAGAAGAAATATGGTACATTTGTGTCAGGTAATTACTACGAACTTGTTTATGTGGCAACCAGTGACCTCTAGTAGCGTTTGCTCAAACTGCATGATCTTATCGACTTCTGTTAAACGTTTATCACACGCTCGCCCGACAAATACAGTTGCAGGTTACGACAGCAGTTAGATATATAAACGTAAATAGTTTGCCAATCAGTACTGCAACAGTTAATAAACAGGATATAGCGAAAGTGTACAGATCAAGCATGAGTATATCTCCTGTGGGCGAAAGGACAATATGTCTCGATGGCACGATGGCTTGCGCAGTTCTGGCGCTCTTTGAGAACTATTTTCGGTTGGCCATCGTTTTACAAGACTTGTTAGGACCTTTAAGGGCTGCGTGTCTCTATTCGTCCGCGTGCATTGCATTTTCTGGGTTTGATGTTAAATCTGATACATTGATCATTGCTCATAGTGCGTACAACGCCAAATGGGCTCTTACAAACGTCTCTACTAGATCGCCACCATTGTTGTGTGTGTCCTTCTGCTAATACTTCGGCTGCTGGCTTCCAAACGTATGTTTTTTTTTTGTTTAAGGATCATGAGGAGCGTTTCAGGTGAATGATGGAGCTACGTAATGCAAACGCAAAATCGACGGAAACAAGCAAGTGCTTTGAAAGCATTAAAAAAAATTATCTACCAGCCCGATGAAAGGCAACATTGATAGGCCACGAAGTATGTATGTGAGCCTTGGTTCGTTGAGATTGTTAACTGACAGCGCCCTTCTTCCTCTCTTATCATCGTTATATTTTGCTTTATTATGTAAGATTTATCAGTGTTGAATCACACGCCAGCTATGCAGCATGCACTTTCATAGCGGACATCATTAAAACCAAGTGGTCCTTGGCTTCAACTTATTTGCAGATAAGTTTATTTCGATTTGGCATTGATATAAAAAAAGACGGCTGTTGGCTCTAAAGCAGAACATAATATAATTTATAGGGCGCTGGTGACTTTTCCTGCTAACACATCCCAGGTTAACGCACCTCGCAGATTTTACTCCATGTATAAGCATATAGCTATGCCAAAGCACTCACAGGCTATTATAGTGCTTGGTAAAGACAACAACGAATACAAATCGGTGAATACAGCTTCCGAATAATTTCGAAAACGAAGCTCGTCGTAGGAGTATTGACTAACTGCATATAGGAAGATCTATTGGGTGATCAACGGGTTCCTCTAAAAGACAATCCGCTTTACGAACGTGTGACAATGTTTAGTTGAAAATAAATGCTCGCTAATCGTACGGAGAACTACGGAAAGACATGGCCTTAAATAATGACTAGTTGACGGTGGTTGCGAGTACGGAGTGCGCAGGAGCTGCGAAGAGCGTTGAATCAAATCCAAGAACCTTTACACCTATCTAACTGCTGGAAATTTTTTCTTGTTCTTGAAGTGATATTTTTTGTCGCCTACTGTCGAGAAGAGCTGTAGGGTCGTTGGTCATCTTGTACCATACCAGGTGCATATGAGATGTTACAATTAGTTTCTATTACTTTAATAGACAATTACTTCCGATCCGAATTCGAATTTTTTCTCTTCGTAGGACAAATCTTTAGCCACGTCCAGACATTCCGATCAAAGTCAGTACACTAAAAAACACTACTATGACATATGAGGTCGAACACTTTAGTCCTATCAGGATACGGTCCCCTGCATACGTGACCTTTTGTCATAGCTGCTTCTAATGTAGTTAGACACCTCATAGTTGTTAGTCCTAGATGGAGCACTCGGAAAGCTTGTTGTAGAAACAGGCTAGGACAGGAGATGTGCACTAAGTAGGACTTCGATTGTAGCTTTCACCTATATGTATAGGAGAAATATTATGGCAAATTTTAAGGAGCACAACTGGAGAGAGTGGATAAATTCTACACATGGGGTGAGGGGTGCAGCGAATAATCTAATTATTAATAAAAATCCGATACGATAGTGCGACATTCCCTCATTTACAAGGGAGTTTTCCGAATAGATCATCAAATATTTTTCGTTTTTAATTTGTGTTTTAATTCATTTAAATTAACACGCTGTGAGTACGAACTCCAACAACGGCAAAGTATGAGTCAAGCCAGTAGACAAGATGTGTATTGCCGGGCTGGAAAAAGCAATTATACTTCTCTCGCGTCTTTCTATCCTACTGACCTGATTCTAGGTACAACATTTATTTCAGAGGGTTAAACTGCAACTAAAAAAAAGACACATTTCTTTGTCACAGCTTTTAATTAGTTCTGCAATAGCAGCCCCTATGTGTATTCTCTCTGATTCAGTGATTAGTTGTGCTATTCAATATAAGTTTTTGTAAAGGCTTATTATTTACGAAAATTTAAGAAAATCTAACGTATGCATACGTTGACGCACGTCCATCTTGTTTGGACGTACGCATACATTGCCTTACATTATATGACTACCACCACATAGCTGCTACCATTTCTACTAGCTTTATGGGTACAGGTATTAAGTTCATATGTTAAAAACGAATATAAATAGGTAAATATCACATAAGGATTCCATTGAAAAAACAACGTTTTGTTTATGATATTAGTGAACTTCCTTTAACGAAACAAATTATATCTAAAATTTGTTGTATTATCGTATTGTCAATGCGTATGCAACAGTCGTACTGGTGAGGATTCGGATGGTCTTAGCTGCCAGTCAACCCGAAATACGTACTCTGCATAAACTCCATAAGCTAATACAATATCGAACCCACTATAGATATATATCTATATATATATATATTTTTTTTTTTTTTTCGCCGCAAACGTATAATTTGATCAGTTGTTCTTACTCGAACTTAATTATCTAAGTGTTTTTCATAATTTGTTACGAATAAAAGCTTGACTTTGTCGCTAGTCTTGTTAGGGACATTAAATTATTGTCGTAGTATCACAGACAAACGATGATCTATAGGTAGAACCATGGTCTAATTCGAGATAAACTTCTACTTGGTATGGCAGCCATGGATAGGGTACTTAGTCACTACATGTCGCGATCTGTTCCAGCCGTATTTTTTCGCTTCTTTGTTATAAATTGGCTTACGTTCTAGTCCCTTTTTCAATGTGCCAGTCTGTTAGGGAAGATGACCCCAGCGAGGAAGCGGAACTGTTACCTTCGCTGAGATGCGGCGCCTCTTCACAATAGCAACGATAACAGTACTACTGTCGCTCTGGCCAAGAGCATCCCTCAATGGACGCAACAGTATCGTTGGCGCCGTTTACGAGTACGAAGACCGAGAAGTTCACAGTTACTTCTACAAATCTATCGATCCGGAAGATTTTCTTCTTGGAGTTATCGTGCCGGTGCACTCCCAACCTAACCTAACTGAGGTGAACCCGTTGAGGTGCGGCGACGTCTTGGAACAGGCAAGAACTATTTACGTTTGATGATACTATGGTGCAACTTAATGGACTGATTTAGTATAGGCTTTGAGATTTTTCTTCAGTTTCGATGCGGTTTTCAGGTCAACATTAAAGCCCCGTCTATCATTTGACCGGCGCCCCTATCGCCCTCAATACCGTATTTCTGGACTATTCAAAGTTGTAGCGGTAAGAGGACGGCAATCTTCAGAAACAATTTCAGTTCTCGACACAGAGGAGGCACCTTGGAATGCTCGTAATATTGCGTTTAACGGGCAAGAAAAAAAACGTTTTATACAGCAAGGTGGCGTAATTTTATGTACTTCATGACAGCAAATACCACATGAGCTTTTTCTATGTCTATAAGGTAAATAGAACAAAATATTTCATTGTAGAAGAAAGATTAAAGTAGACCTATGAAGTGACCCAAGAGTCAGGGCCAAACTAATTTTCAATTCTGAAAAGAAATAGGCCCACAGTTGCAACAGATACTGTCTAAGTTCTAAGGCTTATTTCTTTAATAATATAGCTTGCATTTATATGAGGTGACCAAAGGATTATACGTTGCTCCGGTGGGGCCTTCCAAATGGAATGAACAGCATATCCTTTAACTGAAATAGCCGCTTTTTTAATATTTAAGCGAGAACTTCACCGTTATGACCCGCACAACCCCGGTTATGTCCTGTATGCCGGATATGTTAAAAGTTTCATACTGTTCACTGTCAACGATAAGTATCGTGTTAACGTGTTGAAAGATTACGTCAGTTAATTCTGATCATCATCGCCATTAAACTGCGTTTAATTATTAACTTTTAATTAAATATAACCATTAAAAGGCCCGGACCTCCTTTTCATATTGAATAGGGTTTAAGTGTATGATAAGTGAAAATAGTTTGTCAAACTACAGGTTTCGTGTCTGATTGACAACACGTTTTTGCCTTAATTTTATGGCAGCTTGAGTCAAAGTGCCCGAAATTCTGAACTAACACAAAATTAGTGATTTTAGAATGATGAAAGCTCGGCGATGACCTCGAACAAATACGTTGCCTTCGTTCGATTTAACGACGTATAGATGTGAATGGCACACATTTGAGGCGGCAATGACTAGTCCGTCAAAGCCCTATCCTTTTTTCGCTGTAGTGACTCGACATTAAAGAGCCCGACGTTACCTCTTCTGAAATGTTTATTTGGACGGTACTTGTCATCAGCTGGATAAGCAGTCGTCATAGCTGCACTGATGACAGGGACGTCATTGTGCAAACTAGGCAGGATGTGCCCAAGAAAATATTCTATTGTTTTTGCCCATTTCCTATTGTTGCATTTATAGTGTGTTTGCGACACGCGTTTCCCGACATCTCCCGACAGTGTAGTCAGAGAGTAGTCTGTATCCAGGTGGCGCGGATGTTTGTATCTTATTTCTTAAGCCTTAGTTCTTCGTCATATCTGCATAGCACTTCGCATAAAAGTTATTACAATGTTGCTCTCGATGCCATTTTTTTTGAGTAAAGCTTTTTTATAGTTATCGTAATTATAATAAATGATTTAAATTAATTGATTTACAATATAATCCAATAAAAGACGGCATGTGTTTAGACATCGTTCTCCGGCTCGCCGGAACCGCGGCGCGCATAGTGAATAAAACACAGAACATCTTGAGTCGCTTATAATTTACATAGTTTAATAAATTATAACTGTCGGCTGCTTTAATAAACGCTCTTTGTGGCTTGAATACTCAGCTGAGAGAGCGGACTATAACGTCATGCAATCAAATTTTTATTGGCTTTTTCAAGCCAGATCTGCTCCAGGTGTCGCGCACGAGAGCATGCATTAAGAAGTGGGTATGTACCTCGTATTGGTAAACAGGCCTGATCAGATAGCGGTTGAATTACAACAAATCGATAGATCAGTGCAGTATTTCGAAAAAAGAATCGATAGTTAAGTGGGCGTGAAACAGATACGTGGAAATCGACGAAAGGGAATCGTCGCACTGAGTGCCCAACGTTGCGTTTTAGGCGAATGTTGTCCATGATACAGATGGTTCTTGAAAATTCATTCTTTTAGATCATTTATACGTGCGAACAGTTGATACTATTGGGTAGTTGCAATGTGTTCACACTGATGGACTTCTACAGCTTGTTTGGATGATACGTTGTATCAATTTTACTACGATCGCGTTTACTGTTCGGTAAATTTGGAACTATCTCATTCCAGATAGTTCGAATGAGCTGGACCGCATAAGGGTTATTTGCCTAAAGGGAGTTTTTAAGTTTAAGAACAAGTTTTTAAAGCGATAAATAGATCACTTCTCCGACTAAACTTCCAACGCTAATTCAACCTGCAGCTAGCAGGAACTTAGTAAAGGCGTTTACTGAACTAAGTAAAAATTATATTTGATACTGACTTGGGTTTCTGCAAGAGCCCACCGCAGCATGGGAACGACTTGTAACTGAGTTCACCCTGGACATTCAGCCTATGTTTGCTAGAAAGTGCTGGAAACGCCTGTCACACTGACTAGCTATATCCCATGGCTATTTTACATCTAAGAAAACGATTAATTATATTGTTCTCTTTAGATATCAATGTTCTTGAGCAAGAAAAACTTGTTCAGTGAGGCCAGACATTGCTCATTCTACCGTAAGCTCAGCTCAAAAGCATATCATAAAGAGACACCCTGTCATATTTTGCACCGAAGCAGGAGGGTATCCAGAGGGTGGAAATGGCCTTGCGAACAGTAGCAGAGATCAACGAACGCCGCGATCTTCTACCCAATACGACCTTAGGCATACATGTCCGGGATTCATGCAACTATCCTCCGATAGCCCTAGAGCAAACAATTAATTACATTCGGGCTTCCGTCTGGCATGACAGCGATTACCAAGAGACACCGTATCCGTGGAGTCAGTCTCACTCAATTGAAACATACAGCCTAAAGAAATGCACAGTACCAGAAAAACGAAGAAATCTTGTTGCCGTTGTTGGACCAGCAACTTGCACCGGTATCATTCAGGTAAGTGTTGCCATAAATGATATAAGCCTTTTTCCTGAACGCCAAAACACCTTGATCGATGTTGCTGAGTTTTAAAACTGGATCATTTGCGCCCATTGCATGACAATTACGGTGCGTATATTGAATGTGTGCGAGGCTCTCAACACATGATACTAGAGAAAAAAAATTAGCTGGACGTTGGCATAGCAAAGCTACAGGAGAGAGCAGTCTATTTGTAAAGCCATCCCTTTTCTAATTAGGAACACTGTTCTAATGGTTGGCATCGAGTAAAGGATCCAGATGATATAGGGCTATCTCATTTTAAACGCCCTTCAGGTTAAGGTAAACATCAGACTCTAATTGGGTTAATTGTTCGGTTCTGTACAGCTCCAAGACGTCAGTCAGAGAGTTTCGGGCGCTTGATTGAATACCTTTAGGAACTGTCGAGCTCGAAATGCGATTGAGAATGTTTCAGGTGAAAAACCTTCTACAACTATTCGGCATCCCTCAGATAGGTTACTCAGCAACGGCAGCTATTCCCGCCGAATACTCCAAGTACTTCCTGTCAGTGATTCCAAATGACACCGATCAGAATCGGGCTATGCTTGACATACTCGTACGCTTCAACTGGACATACGTCTACACGATCCATTCGAGCGGTATAACTTATAACTGATGACGACTTATAACTATAATAAGGATAATTAGGTGTGACCTTAGGCTCTGTGTTCATATTCTCTAGCAGAGTTTTTTTTTTGGTGAGAGGTGTGTTAATGTCTTTATTGCTATTACTTGACAATAATTCTCCTTCCTTGCTCTCTAACTGTGCCGTGATCTACTGCTATTTTCTTTGATCATGGCTAATCTGTAACGGTTATATTTGCATTAGCACTAACCATGTTAACGGTCACCTGATGCCCTCTAATGCACAGATGATGATTACGGGCCTATGGCGATGCACGACTTCAAAATCAAGGCGTACACGCGAGGGATCTGCGTGGCGAAAAGTTCCACGCTTTCGCCAACGTCACAGACGAGTGATTACGAGGCAGCCGTACGTAAGATGATGAATACACCCGTAAGGTCCACTGGTGCTCGGGTTATCGTTGCCTACCTCGAAAAGAAGATACTTATGCGTTTCCTGCACACCCTTAAGCACCTAAACGCCACCCACAGGTTCCTGATCCTTGCCAGGTCGGTGAAGAAAAGCGTTTGTGTTTCGGCATTCAATGCTGCCACAGCATGCAAGTAGAATCCATACCATACGTTTAGCAAGCCAAGATGACCACTACACTAACGAAAAGTTAATCGGTTTCTTTAATATAGTGATTTAGTCACTCTCTATCTGATACACATTTTTTCGTTCCGTTCTCCGGCCACACCATTTTAGTATTTCTTTGAATGACGAACATAAGGAGTTTCATCGATTCCCTTCGGTATTATCTTTCACTTAAATGTATGTAAAATCCATAACTTCCAGTGCTTTGAACGCAGCAGTCTTGATGTAAGTTGATATAATGCTTAGACGCACTCTCTTGAAAGAAGGAATTAGGAACTTATTCGAACGTATACCAGTGACCAATGCAAACGAATCGGCATCTCCAGGCCAAAGCCATTGTCCTATCTTATGTGTCATGTTTGGGGCGCTCCGTAGTACAAAAATGTTACTCTTTTTTCTATTAGATGCAATTTCTCCACGTACAAAAAACATTTGTTTTGAGGATAATTTATACTAGCTATACTAGTACTAGTGTCCTTCAGAAGATGTAATCTAATTTTTGATTCTATAGTACAATATTTATGGCTTAGGTGTCTGATACGATGGGTCACTCAGTTCACTAAAATCACCGTAAGGGAATAGGATAAATTTATCTTATGTTTACTTTTCTTTTTTTTTTTAGAGAGATCATATAAAAATGTAGAACAGTAGCAATAAATTGACGTATAATCGCACTTGGGTATATCACTAAGATCACAACCCGCCTCAAAATAAAAGGCGTAATTTACAAAATCTTTTCCTTTTTTCCCTTCAATGCTGCTTCATCAAAGTTATAACTTCCTGTAGTAACTGCTGAGCTAGTAACACACGTACTAAACTTGATAAAATCTTATCAAAATAACTATTATCCTGCAAAGGCTTGATTTGGTCTCATGCTACTTAATTTGGATCATTTAATGATTTGTGCGTATATCATATAATTTTTTGTACAGCGACACCTGGGGGACGGATCCAGAGGTTGTTCGGGCACTTGAGGATGTCGCCGAAGGCTGCATGACGCTAAGCTTCCCGAAGCCATCGGGCACCGCTTTTCGGGAGTACTTCACAGCTCTGAGGCCAGAAACCAATTCCTACAACCCTTGGTTCAGGGAATTCTGGGAAGATCGATTTAAGTGTACATTGCCAAGAAGAGAAGACTCATTAAAAATACTAAAATATCACCGATGGTGTACAGGTTGGTATATACAAAATGGGAAAAAAAAGCCTGTTAGCATAGTAATAATACCAAGATGTGTTATTACAGCTTACATTTTGTGCTCCTTCAGTTCGCTTTGCCTTGCGCCAGGTTTGTTTTTAACAGGATTAGTTGACCTATATTATAAATATACTGCTGTTAGTTTGTCCACAAATGTGTCACTTGTGGCTACCATATTTTTTCATACAACTGCTTTGTCGACTAGTATAAACAGAAATTAGGGCTGGTGGTAGTAAAAGCGTTCGAATTATATCACATAGTAACTGTAGAAAACTTTTAAATATTTCTAACTGTTTGTTACTTCATTGCTGTCCTGTGTTATCTCAGGCTGAAAAGAGTATACATAAATCTTGTTCATGTTTTAAAATTTGTTATTGAACGGCAACTGTTTGGTAGTGAACCGGTATTTATGTTAAGAATCTTCTAAGTCTATGGCTACCGTGATGATGCCCTTGTAACTGATTTCCACAGTGAAAGCATATGGTAGGTTACAATTTAAAATTACAGTCCGTATAAAGTCCTCGTCAAGAAAGTGCAAGTTTCTATACGGTTTAACAAGATTTATTCACGAACGCATTCAAAATTTTCTTCATGAAGATAATATTTGTAATCATTTCGACAAGCATCCGAGTTTCCCAAACCCTAAAGATATTATTTTTACGATGTAAGTTCAAATGATCGCTTTTAATACACTCATAAATATCAAAGATCCTGGCCTCTTTTGAACTCATTCGTTTAGTAGCTCCCTGGAAAAGTTCTCCACAGTCGACGCCGGCACTTTCTTCTGCGTCAAGCCTTGAGGCCGCCGTTAGACATTCTTTTGAGGGTCTGTTTAAGGATATTTCATACGAGTAATCTGAAAAGGTTGAGGAGGAGAAAAAATTACGGCATTTATCGCGTTGAGAGTTGTTACTAAGATTTGTTACCTCTACGTTGAATTTTCTTTTTCAGCTGTTAGGCTTGTCCTTATTCTTATTTAAAAAAGTCTTGTATCGCCAGAGAGCTTTAATTGACTGAAGGTATCCATGCCGGTTTAGGAATCAGAATGTTAAGTGAGATTAGAAAAGCCTTTTACTGCTGTAATAATAACAAAAACAATCTTCAATAGGTTTTTTGCAGTAGCGAAATTATGTTGCAAAAAGTATCATATCTGTAACGGTATTGTATACACATCTTGGTAGTCTCATAGGTTATAGGATTAAGTAAATATCCATTCATTACTCTAGTAACTCTCATCTAACTAATCATTCTCTAGTAACTTATAACCTTTATTGGTCAATTCCGCTTTACGTAATGATAAAATAGACTGCACTTCAGTGAAGCGGTATTTCCTTTGAGACCTAGAAAAGCAATTGCCTTATACATACAGATGCTGGTAGTGATGAATGGAGTACCGTAGAAGTTTTTCGTATGGTATAACGAGTTTCACCGCCTAGAATCGTTTTAGTAGTCGTAATTCGTCCGAACAATAAATCACACATTTACACATGCGATCTAAAACCAAACGATTGGTCATGGAGTGCATCTTGTTGTCTTCGAAGCAAATATGCCATGTAAGTAACTTACCTTATCCATTTACCAAAGGATCAAGTCTTTGACTCGAACTGGATCTATCCTACAAACGTTGTCTGTTGGAAGAGCTTCTTGGATTAAAATCACCTTCTAACAGGTAATGAAACGTTGAACGATGGCTCTTTTCGCGAGGATCCAAAAATTGACTATCTTCGAAGGTCGATATACCTCGTTGCCCACGGGCTTCATCGAATGATTGAGGATCACTGCGGCAGCGTTCACTACGGCGCGACACACGACGAAGCAGTCGACGGTGAGCCAGGACCGGATCGTAATTCGACTCGAAAAGATTGCGTTTCAAAGATGCACGTTAACGCTACAGCTTTTGTAGCTTATCTTAATCGAACGAGCTTCGTTTGGCCGCCGGATGCGCCGAATTCTTCAGAAACGATAGAAGTCAATCCGCCAGGCGTCTACAATATCTACAACTTTCGAAAGGTATTTGATAATTTTTATCTTTTAAGTGAAACCTTTAGATGCAATATAAGTCATGCTAGCGATTCATTACAAAGTTCATTTCGTGACGAGATTTAATCTTGCTTATCATAACGTGTCAGCACGACGACTTCCACATGATAAATCATTCGTATAGTAAGAAAGGCAATATCTTTTGCAAATTCGGGTTGTAATCACGACTAGAACTTAGTAATTACGAGACAGGTTTTCGTTGGTTTACTGAGATAATTTTGAAACAAAAGTCTAAAAACGTGCGCCGAATTCTCACCATTTGTAACAAGACAGTGTGGAAACTGACTTCGCCAGAGGTCATTCCACGAGTTCAGATGGCGTAGTTAAGCTTTGCTTTTGTTGGTAATACTAATATGATGACCTCATTATGTTTCAGTAAAGCACACACATATAATTTCTTCCATCAGCAGCTTGGAATGATGATGTGGTTCCGATTTGTTCGTCCAACTCTGAAATGCTCGTTACTAAATTTGTATTTAACTAAATATAACTTGCATTGCGTTCATTATTTCAATTCAATGTATAGACGGATTCTAAAATGTATTCACATTCATCTAATATAAAAATTGATTCATAATCGGCTATCATTTTAGGTCCCATGCTTTACACGGCGCACCTTTGTCACTGAACCTTTTTCACCGTCGTCGTCGCCTTACGCTTGTAACGGCAGAAAAACTATCGTTTTCTTTCGGCCTTTTCCAAGTTCAGGTGTGCGCAAAATCCGCACTCTGATATCTTCTATTCCGCTAGAAATGCAAAGCCAAAGTAAACGTGCAAATCGACTTGCCACCGCTGCCATATTTCAAGCGCGTCCCTTCCCATCTCTCCACCAAGCAGCCTCATGCGCCTCAACCCTAAGCCCCATTTTTATACAAATTAAAGAATATACTCGTCCTACACCCTCCCCCCCCCCCACACACGCTCGACCTTATGCACAATATGTCTCTTCGTTTTCCCTTTACTGGCATAGTGTTCAGGCAAGCGGCGGTCTCCCCTCACACAAAACTGGTGCAGGGGATACATATGGGATAAGGTGAAGAGAAAATAACTTCGGAGGGGCCCTGTGGCTGTGAAACAGTGAGAAACATCCAGGGCCGATCTTTTGGCTGGTTTTAGCCCGAAACGGCCATGTACCTTCTACCACACGAAAGCAGGCATTGTCTTTTTAGCCTTTGTTGACGTGTTTGACCGTCTTTCGATATTCTTGCCTTTTATTGGAAGACGGGGAACGGAAAAGAAAGAGGCTTAAAGGGAAAATTCTCTTTTTTTTTATTTTCGCTACTGCATTCTAGCCATATAGAACTTACCGCTCCTTGGTCCCAATGGCGTAGCATTGCATCGTATATTTTTTCCAGATGGTTTCGCTCATCGAATATTTTTTTTCCCTCGACTCCTTGTCTTGTTTTATTTTTAAAACAACCATAATATATTTTAATCTCTTCACTTCTCAATATTTTGGTGGAGTTTAGGTAAAAGAACGGTCGTATGACTATGTGCAAATCGGCACATGGAAACGTGTCGACGGCTTACAGCTTTGGGAGGACCCGGTCTTTAAAGGTGGTTCCAGAATACTACCAGAGTCGATCTGCAGCAAACCTTGTGAAAAAGGACAGATTAAGGTTAGAGTAAGCAGTGCTTACAACTTCTATAAGCACGATTTTAAAAAAAAAAAAAGCTTGTTCTATAGTGCCATCAATCTTCCCTATTAGATAGAAACAGCTCGTTAATAAAATAACTGAGAAATTCAATATGGCTCACGTAGAATAATGTTCAGAGCAAATTTAATTTAAAAGCTGATCTGAAAACGTCTACTGAGCGAACACTTCCGCCAATAGAAAAGCAATCTTAACTTTAAAAGTACTTAAGTGACATGTTTACTTTTCATAAATTGAACACTTTTCTGTAGTTTAAGCCTCAACTTTTATTGCCGCTCCAGACAACCCAGGTGATAAGCAGAGAGCAAGAAACAAGAAAGCCTTTGTGGGTTGATGGCTCAATAAGCTAAAAAATGCAGCGTTGTTCTATTAGATCTAACACTGCTTGTCGCCACTGTACAGGTATAGATTAAATGGTTTTCTTAAAACTTCCCGCACCCACAACAAATATAAGCTCGATGTATTTGTTACTGACATAAAATGTAAGATGTCATTAGACCAGCTACTTAATAGCTGGCCTAAATATAATTTTGACAATTATCATAACTCGACTCTTCTGTAGTTTGGCACCCTGCGCAGACTAGAACCTTTTTAACTGTGGATATGGGTTTGTAGCACAGACAGGCACCCATTAGCTGTTGTTATGAGTCTGACAAGACTGGTTTGATAGAGATATACTGTAATTCTGTAACGTTTTCTCAACGAATTTAACGTCACATAAATGGATCACCTGTAATTTAAAAAGAATTGAACGAAAAGTCACTCAACAAACGCTGGATTTATTCTAGAGCATGTTCGTTGAATCGAAAGTAGGGTCCTTTCTTTCGTTCCTCTTTAACTTCTATAGTAATCTCTTGGTCACACTACTGACGGCGGTGTATAGACGCGCGATGCGAAGGTACATGCGTTCGTTTCCCCGTTCCCTCCACTGAGTAAATTTTGCTTACACCAATAACGACGTCCGCAGTCACAAGCTAATGTGGCCAATCGATTATATATATCTGTCTACTGGCAAGGATCCAGCGACCGAAAAGATATTCCCGTTCCAAGACAACAGCAGTAACAGCGCTCAATCAGAGTGACGTTTTTGCCCAGCATTGCCTTGCCCTACATATATGTCATATTCACGGCAAGGTAAATCGGAGACTATAATAGCGCTTGCTAATGAAATGGACCCGCATTGCGGTCTGCTCGTCCATCGTGACGTGTGAATAGGCAAATGACTGTTCGTAAGATTTGCTCTTTTGTAATTAAGCTTATCAAGGCTGGGCGCATTCCATGGTCAATTGAAACAAGCGTGAAGTTTACTCTATGTGATATAAAGTTGTTGTCTAACTGAAAATATTATGCCTTCATTCAAATTGAGCTTTTAGCAGACGTTACAGTGGCTAATGGGCGGGTGATTTATTTATTTATTTCCATTCACGCCTATACCAAAAAAGCCACGAGAAGGCAGTCCGTATTATGCTACAGAACTATGTAGCAGTGCAACATATTCGAATACTGTCGATACCGCAGAACTACCAACGAAGACAAAGGGTGTTGCCAACTCAGTCGGACGGACCGCTGACTCTATGCGTATAAAATGGTCCATGTAGAAATTGTAGTGGGACTATCTTGGAAAGCCTACGACCTAGATTTATAGCTATAGCTTCGATCAATTCGTTAGCAAAGATGAGAGTCAATTTTATTTGCAATGATATTGGACGCCTGGATCCGCTCGCTGGACAGCAAAACGTCATGGGTTATTTTTCATTTCAAAATGTAACTTTTCAAATATCATTACTGCTCAATGTGGTTTGCTTTCCTTTTCAAACGAATTCGTTCTATTGTAGCTTTATAATATATTTCCGACTGTTCGACATTCGTTTTAATACATTTCAATGGCTTCATCTAAGTACCGTCTCTAGAATAGTTTCTCACTAGTCCTTGTAGGACGGCTTAACCCGGCGAATATATGACGACCAAACTGATTTATAACGGGATTAATTTCAGAATGTTTGGTGGCCTGGCAATTGCTGTTGGAAATGCTTATCTTGCAATCAGACCCAATTTATCCAGGATGAGTACAACTGTGGTAATTGCGGACAGGGATTTCTACCTAACGCCAATCTCACCGGTCAGTTCCTGTCATTTGCTATACGTTCGGTATATCTTCTTTGCTAAAATCACTTTTCTTTTGATGCAGAAGGGAGGAGAAGCAGAGAAGTCGAGCTACCGTTACCTGATGACTTCATGTATTGACATGTTGGATATCTGACACGCTTTGGTAATGGCGACAGATTTTAGATTACACACTGTGGCGGATGTGTAGCCTACAATTTTAGCAGGTCAGGTATCTCCCGCTAAAACTCCGCAACTCCCTGCTCAAGTCAACGATGTGTTTTCTTCAATCTATCTCAGTGAACAACCGACTGATCGATCGCTAGATAGCAACAAAAACATTGTAACAAATTCACCTACGCTGCATGAAAATCAGATGTCAGAGAAATTAATAGATAGTGTTCAACAAATGTTGCCTATGCAGGTAATCCATTTCCTTCATTTTTTACTTATTTATAAGTTTTATGAATATGGCCAAGTAGGTTTGGCTAAAGAAGCATTACGTACGAACCCTTTTTATCGTGAAAAAAACCAAATTAATTCTATGAAGTCACCTGCCGTTGCTAAAATACCTGTGACCATAATAAGCAGAAGACGAGCTAATAGACCGAACTAACTATGGTTAGTACCTGCTGAATATAAAAACTAGTGACCCGCATTAGCTGAACTATATAACAATAATAACGTTCAATTTTACCTACAACTCGTATCTGCAGGATGCTATGCCATTCCCGAGGAATACATAAAATGGAAAGATTCAGCGGCATTACTCGTTATCGCGGTAGCATCCGTAGGCGTCGCAACAACGTGTTTGGTAACGCTGATATTCGTCCAGCATAATCTGACACCAGTTGTCAAGTCATCGACGCGGGAACTTTCGTACATCATTCTAGTTGGCATGGCTATGTCCCATGGGACATCCCTTGCTTTTTTATTTAAGGTATAACTAATCCCAGAAATTATGTTTACGCAAATCGTATAATTGTAGACCCTTTATCTAAATGCTCCGCGTTCATCCTCTTTTTTCTTATCAAAAGAAAGAAAGAAAGAAAGAGAGTTTTTTCTGGAGTGAATTGCAAAACCACCAAGGCTGCCAAGACGGGGGATTATTGTTCGGAATTTAAACGACGATCTTCAAGCCGGAAGAGATTCCACGAGGACCACAAACTTTCTTAATGGCCTAAATTGACCCGTTACGTTGCTGTCAGTCTCTTCGAAGCTTCTAAAGAATCCGAGAAAGATATTCACGAGACATAGCAAAAGATTCACTATATAGGAGTTACGTTAAAGGAGTTCGAAAGGTTGCCAAAATAGAACGAACAGCCGTTTCTGGTAAACTCTAAAGTTTTATGCAAACATTAGCGACCGCCTTCGGGAGGATAGAATCGATTTTGTTGTTCAGGTAAACCCCCCAAAAGTTTAATTCTTTAAATCTACTGCATCTTTTTGTATTTATTTACTTTTATGACGTTGACTTTTTGCCAGGCTAATATTTAGGTGCGGTGGACTTTTTATATTTATCTTGATTGAAGGAAACTTGGCTGTATCTATACGTACTAAACTCTCCTTATTTACTGTTATTTTTCAAAATTTAATGCAAATTTTGAAGATAGACCCATGTTGAAACGATTCCGGTTGTATCAAATGAACGAATTCACGATGGATGTAGCTATTTTCACATGTCACCAGTTTGCGCCAAGTATTTTTATTTGGAGATAGTTTAGAAGTAGGCAAGATCTGCTTTGTTTTAACTTATTTCGAACACCCTGTACATAAGGATACGAGACATTGGGGTCCTATTTCCGATGTAGTCTTCGTATAAACAAGAATCATTCGTGTTGAATTAATCGGTGTATTGTATTTACAGCTGGATTGTCAACTGCCCCAAAATCTATCCTTTTTGCATTTTGTGGTTTTTCAATATTTTTCATCGTTGTCGTGGTAGTTTCGCCGTAAGTAGATATTATATGGCCCACTCAAGGTTGGATAGCAATGAAGTTCCTTAGATACTGCATCCACCTACAGCTCCACACTCTAACAGCAGCCACTCTTCTAGTACCAGCTGCCTATAATATTATTATTATTATGGACCATTCAGTGGCCTATTCAGATCATTAGCCCTAATAGCTAGGTAGTGGGTAGGTTTTCATGCACTGCTCAAACGTGTCAAGAGCAAGAACAATTTACTGAAGTGAGCAGTGAATGAAACGAATGCATCGTTAGGTAAAAATCGCCGTTGGAGAATGCAGCAAGGTCTGGTCGGTAGATCTTAGACTTCCCAGTTACAATGATCATAGCTAGTCAACTGTCTACGCTGTATTTAGCTTAAATGGTAAAACTGACATGGATAAAAGTAAGATTTTAGCAACACCAATATTACGGACAGCAGCAAAAAAGTTTTATCCAGCTAAAACTTGCCAATATCTCAAGAACAAGTGAGGCGCAATCCTCTTGACGGACTTTAACATCGTTCCAGCCCTCAGACTATTCGTGCTTCGCGGTTCGCGTTCTGCCTCCGTTTAGTCTAACAATGATGTATGCTCCGCTGCTCGTGAAAACGGTCCGCATTGCCCGAATCCTTGGCAATATCCGTTCGCTTGCGATAACCCCACCGAAACGATTTCTCTCAAGCACTTCACAAGTTGTCATCACATGCATACTCATCTTTATACAGGCAAGTCTAACCGTTCCATTAGAAATTAGAGTGAATATGCTGAATTAGGACTAACGAGTGAGCAAAACTAATCTATCCCATGTGGCTCCTCGGAACCTTTGCTTTTATCCAACAGATAAGGATGTCGATTGCCGCACTAGACAATAAGGTCGCTCAGTTTTATTGGCTTATACATTTTCGCAGTAGAATTTACCATTTGCGAATGTTTTTTTCGAATTTTCAAATGTTCTTATGCAAGCGGATTTTTGTGTCGTATTGGTTCTTGGGTAATGTTGGCCACTGATTATTTGGTGTTGCGTTGCTTCCTGTTCGTACAGACAAAGCAATAGGCTTGCAGTTGAATAAGAGGTAAGTCCATAAATGATAAAAGTAAGCCAACATTTGAAACAAATGCTTCATTTCGTATGTTTACCTGTCATTTTCTAATTGCGAACCAATTCCTTTGAAAACCTAACCCTTTGAGATTACTAACCATTATTTTTCCTATCCGTCGACGTATATCTTCTTATAAGTCTATTTGTAATCGTCCCTGTTCGCGAATTTGAGTACGGACCCTATTGTATCGTTGTTTGCGGATTATCAGGTGGTTATCCTGACATGCACCCAATTAATTTTGCCGTCGGGCTGGGAACATGAGTATCCAGCGTATGATCGCGTTACGCTCCAATGTCGTATGCCGCACCCGTCAATAATGTTGCCTTTAGCGTTCAACTTTCTGCTCATCATCCTTTGCACCGCGTACGCCGTCAAGACCCGCAACGTGCCGGAAAACTTCAACGAGGCCAAGCTCATTGGTATATTTACATAACAACAGAGCATTGCATATCGTCTCGAAATAGCAGCAGCCATTAGTACAGCTGCCTGTACGAGTCTGTCTCAGGCGAAAAGCCGCGCCTCTATGGAAATAAATCAAACAGCGTTCGCGCGTGCTGATGCCTTTTGAGCTATTAGACACGTCCGTTTTGTAACTCGAATTTTTTACCACAGTTCAAACCGGCCATCGTCATCAATCAAATCAATATTCTGTGTAACTGTTGCATCTGCAGGTTTCACCATGTACGCAACTGTAGTGATCTGGATCTCATTCCTGGCCATATACTTTGGCTCACCGTATAAATCGGTGGCATTTGCGCTCTCGTTAAGTTCTACTGCCCATGTCGCACTTTCACTCATGTTTTTTCACAAGGTCGGTAATCATGACCCATTTTCAATAACCCTAGCACTGGCACCCATTTTGCAACATAAATAATGACAGCATAATAATAAAAAGTGACAGCTGTTTCGCAACATTTTTGAACCTATTCAGACTTGAAAAATCGATAAACGCAGTCTGCCGATTGAAATGAAAGTTCTTACCAAAAAATTCGTATGAAACAGGTCCATTTTGTATCCAGCAGTTTAAAACTGAGACGGTATATATATATATATATATAAGAGTTTTGTTCAACCTTACCGAAGCATCGTCGTGCTAACGCATAGGACTGTTGTAAAACATGATATCCGTCTGAGAAGTACACCCACCAAAATAGCATACATACGAAGTTTCATTGCAGCGAACTACCACGGAAATTCGCTTTCGGTACTACGAGCCGCGCCTTGAAACAGACATCTTTTATATATTATATTGTTGTCAGGTGTACATTATTGTGTTCCACCCTGAGAAGAACCAGCCGTCGGTGTTCCGCCAGTTAACAGATAATATGCGAATGCACATTGGGGCCCAGGATAGTTCCAGCTTCAAATCGTCTATATATAACACCACGGGTGACTCACCATCGCCAATAGGCAAAGGGTTAGTGGTGGTCCGCCATTATCATTTTTTTTTGTTTTAAGCGTCAAAGGCAAACCAACTGATTATCTATGGAAGTCTATTAATTTGAAACGAATAAGAAAGAACAGAATTTGGAAAAAAGTTCAGTTTCTGATAGAAGTTTTTTCGAATTATATCAAGTCATTCGAATACACTGTGCTTAACAAAAACTAAAGAACCTTTCTTTCTGTTACATGGCTTTGTTTACGCAGATTCAGGCCAAGTAATCGCGGCTGGACTACTTTATGAATGTCAGTCAGAAGAGTGATTCAGTTTGCATTCGAAAAGTAAAATCTTACTACCTCAAATTTCTTCTATAGTCTACCATTCGTAACTATCTATTAACTATTCTTTCTGCATTTTTTGCGTTTATTAGAACCTTCAAACTTCGTCCGGAAAAGAAGCGCTACTCACATAGTTCTTCGACGAAGAAAAAAGCGAGCGAAAAGCGCGCTGAACAAATGCGCAAGGCCACGGCGATGAAAATCGCCCAGGACCTCGACAGGAGGTTGTCTCGGACCTCAACGTCGGACCCCGCGTTTAGCCTCAACAGATTCATCGATAACGTGAATAAAGCAGGCGGTGTCCACGGACCGGTTATGGTTGGCCACAACGTAAATCATAGCAATAACATAAGCAATGCCCACCTCTCAGTGGCACTTGCGCCACAACACAGTCCGCACTTGCCCCCACTGTCGCCGCTTCCGCAGGCCCTTACCCATGTCGTAGTGAGCCCGCAGAGCTCTGCCGAACAGGACGGCTTATACGCTAACTCAATGTCAAGGTTCAATCAATTCGATTCGGACAACAACTCGGCAACAAACTCTGAGAACCTGGACACGCTTGATACTCGCAAGCAATCACAGAATAGCGATAACACCTATGAGAGTGTCGTACCTGTGAAACGAAAAATGTCTCGAGGGTATTCGGGTTTGCCTAGGTATTTGCCTCAAACACCAACGGCGGATCGTCCGAGTGGCCGATCAGATTTTAACATAGCGGCTACAGCTTCGAAAGGATATCGCTTATCTATTGACCAGAGCCAGGCCACGTCTTCTGGCCGATTCAAAGTGCTTTCCGAGCACGACGACGAAATCTCCGAACCTGAACAGACCGTTAGTGAAGGCCATGAAAAGAAGTCTAAACATAAGGAAAAATCTATAAAGGACAAAGAAAATCCAATGCAGTCGGTATCCTTACAGCAGCAACAATCACAACAGCAGTCACAGCCACAACAACAACAGCAGCCGCAACAGCAAGCACAGAATCAATCGCAGTCTCAGAATAGGTTCAAACATGATGCCCTAGAATTGCGACGTTTTCACGAACCATTCCGCTATGATTGGTACTATAAGCAGCCGTACGCAACACGGGTGCCATACCGGCCCGCGATCACTTATCCAAAGGAACTGAAGGATCTCAGCACAGGTCTATGCTCCGGCTCTTTGTCGGGAGCTGGTAATGGAAGTCAGAGCAAGGAGAGCCTTTCGCTTGTCCGTCGGTCACCAGGCCCCAAACGATCGTTGGATCATACACGGGATACTCGTGAAACGGAAAAAGGCCGTGATCGATTATTCGTGCACCGACTTTCCCTTGATCAAGGCATTGGGTTGAGAAATGCCGGAGATCAAGCTCTTCGCGATACCGCGTCGTCGTTTCTCTCCGATGGCCGCAAGAGCGGTAATAGCACCCCTAAACGAAAAGTGTCCTGTGAACGATGCACACCGGACGGCAGCCCAGAAAGCGAGCGGTTGGAAACTGGCCTGAAAACAGGTGGCCTAAAAACCGGGCTTGGCTTAAGCGATAACATGATGCTCATTGACGACTCGTCAGTGGAGGACCTTACGAACAAGGCTGATTAGTTCAAATTTGTTGTTTTCATAATCATCAGCTTTAGTTCTCCTTCTTGTAGTGTTCTTAGAGTAATTTAGTTATTATACATCTGTCAGCCACATATAAATGTGCAAAATGGACTCTCATACAGACTCGTCTCACAAATAGGGAATTTAAAAAATATATATTTTGCATGTTTCTATAAATCAATTGTTTGACAGACCTCTCTAGGCATAAAATTTTTAACTGAGGTTTGATAGGCGACTTTCAGGACACGTTTGGCCGTACGCATGCTCATGGACGTTAGTCACACTGTTGACACTACAATCAGTTCGTATACAGATTTCGTACCTGGCTAGCTCCAGCAGTAGCTACCATTCTTTAATGGGAATTACACTTTCGAAGTAAATTTTATCATGCATAACGAATGATGAGAGTCTGCTTGTTGAAAAAGAATGCGACATTTATGCTCTTGCATAACTTACGAGCGCTTACAGAAGTTACGCACGAAGAGCCATTTCAATTCAAAGCTCACATGTGTTATATCAATCTATAACATGTGAGAGTTTTATTAAGCTGTTAGGGTAATTAGGCCGATAGAACTGTGAGCGCCTCAGTAATCACCCGATGATCGTGTTTTTAGTGCTTTAAAAATGATCGGTTCGGGACTGCTAAAGTACTGCCTCGATAACTGCTACCACTTTGTGCGTCCCGGTACGTGAGAAATATAATACAAGGATTCGTTATATATATAATATAATACAAGAAGTTTGTAATAATAACGGTAATTGTGACGTGAATCTATTTTTGCTATTATGTGATACATTACTGAGTGGTTGCTAATATTTATCTGGCATCTTTCTTTCATTTTTGTTTGTATTTCCACGCAGTTTCTAAATTAAACTTCAAGGCCAACGGATAAGGAGACCCCTCACCATTTTTGCTCCTATAGTCATTGCAATGGTCGGTGGCAGCTTTCGTTAAAGAGCGATCATATATATATATATATATATATACAATGTATAATTCTCGAGACAGTCCACAACTCTATATGGCACCTTTGTTAAAAAAAAATTTGAAACAGCTCAGTTAAACAAAGTTTTTGGATAAAATTATAAAAAAGTTAACATAAGATCTCCCGAAAGTAACAGAAATCCTATTTAACGATTTGACAAAGAATTGTATCACAAACATTGACACTTGCCGTTCTCTACGCTGATTCTAGATCTGCAAATAGATAGTCATAAGGGGTGTATTATAAAACACGTACCGGGATTTCGTTGATTCGTCGTGGTAACAAATTGAACCCTTTACGCTACAGCTAAACTCAACGCGCAAGCGCGCGGTTCACCCTGAAGGACCTTAAGTGACCTAAAGCAGTTCGTTAATTGTGTGACGCGCTCATATCAACGTGATCATTCACAAAAATCGTGAATGACAAATGGTCACTGTTTGAGTATCGGTGTAGCACTTACATAATTGATGATAATAATGAGAAGGACACAGATTGAGGCATGAAAAATTCAACATGTGATTTCTTGATAGTAGCTCCAGCTGTTGATCCATTAAAGGTAGGTCGGTATGTAATAATATCAGAGATGCCGAAATACGGTCGTTGTGCTTGAATGGCGTGCTACAAACTCTGTCGAACTAGCGTAATGAAAAGATAATATAACTATGGAAAATAGCCTTGATAGAATGATTTAACTGCTTCTGGGGCCAAACCAAGACCAATAGTGCCGTATCAAAGCTACCTAACATGGTAGTTACTAATGTATTAAAATCAATATAAATACTCGTTGTTAACTAGAACAAAGTGGTGTTTTAACTTTGAACATTACGCAACCGTGATTAACACCCAAGGTCAGAATACAAAGGTGAGCGAAATGCTTTCTGAATGAAAGAAGTTAAAGGATGGATGTAAATGGCACCTGTTTCCTGGTTCTGCGCGTAAACATATAAGTTCAATAGGTCCCACGTGAAGTGGTATGGTTTAATAAAAGTCCTAAAAAAGTTTTTTCGGATTAAAATGCTATACGAAATTCATATTTTCAGGACATCCGAGCAAATAGAAAATATATGAATGATCGCGGTCTTACGAGATTCGATCTCCAAGCGTGATGAAGCGCTTATTTTCAGACTTTAGACAATAAGCATCACACTAACTGTTTAAAGAGGAAGGAATCAAGGAAATTATAATAAGTTTTCCTTTAATATTTAACTAGAGGGGAACCTTGGCTAATGCCTCTGCCAGAGCAGAGAAGAGGCTTATGGCATATTCAATGAACAGTATAGTGTTGGGACTCACGGCGTTCTGTAGTCTATAATCAAATAGCAAAGACTCAATGTTATCGCCCCATTTGTAGCTGGGTTAGGTTAGTCACTTACCATATAGTAGTTACCTAGGGCCTTCGCACGACTAATGACACTGCCAACGCTCTTATTAATTAAAGAACCGGTTTGTAACAATAGTTCGCTAGTTTGATACCCCTTTTTCGATAGTAATCACAACAGCTTTTTTAATGAAAACGTGCCAAATGGTATCATACGCGCGTCGTACATAGCTTCAATAGGTAGTGACACTATTTCTGTACTTCTTTCTTATATTTCTACTTGTTCTCTGCGTTTATCATTAAGGCTCTTTTCATTACCAGGACTAAAGCTTTATTTGTTATTCTGATTCTTACGCACAAGCCCAATACATCTATGTATTCAATATTTTATTATTCCGTAAGTTACCACTGCAGTATCACTAAGACGTAGACACAGATTAAACTCCGCAGCGGTAGTATATTTAAGGTACTGCGAATAACTGCATTAATATTAAGTGCAAACATAACGTGCACATAGATTTTTTTTCCTAAAAAAAAAACAATGTTAATCCCTCTATGCAAAAAGACAGTTAAGAAGAACAATAATAACTGAAGTAATTTGAAGTTCCAATATGTAATCTTAATAACTAGAGTCACATACGCAACCGTATTCGTTTGCTATACGAGGTGCTGATTAAGAGTTTGAAAATAATCGCAAACGTTAAAAAAAATCAAAGCTTATATACACATGCTTGTCTACAGTGATTTTAGAAGTATGAAATTTAAAATTGTCATATCACATGTATATAAATTAGACCGTGACAAGCAAGCTTGGCGGTCTCTAAAACTAAATAATCGTTGAATTGCAGGCCACTACCAGACAAATTTTGACTGATAATATACTCCAGTCCTCCAAAAACTTGTGAGTAAAAGCTAGTTGAGACAACAGGCAGCAAGGCTTTCCACGGAAGCTAAGCTCTTAGTCTGGGGGCTTCGTAAGTCAAAACTGGCATTTCACATGTTATGTATTTCAGAATTATAACACACATGCTAAAAATGCAGAAACTGAATAAAAAATGGGCATCCTGTAAATTAATTTCAGGCCTATGGAAAATGCGTGTGGGGTATCCCCCATGAAATTCGCAAAACTTGAATCAATAAAAAAACACCTGAAGCACACGATCGCCATAGACGAGGCTTGCAATGAACATGAGCAGTGTCTGCTACTATGAAATACCCGTCAAAAATTAGACAATCAATGCAGCCCGCTACCTCAAAGTCTTCAATAGATTCATGGACCATTGACACAGTAATCGGAAGCACGCAGTCTAATTATTTAATGACAAATACACACTTCATCGCCATGTCTCAATTACTTCTCTGTTTAAGGATACGAATATTTAACGTTGGCCTCACCTTGCATATTCTTCCGATACAAATTCGTGTAATTAGGGGGCTTTCCACACCCTAAAAAAGAATGGCAAGCACATTCCACTATCGATTTTCTACCAAAAGTATAGCTAAAGAGTGCTTAGAGAAGTGATAGGGTTGTCTACAAGTTAGCAGAGCGCTGAGACAAGTGTGCAAAAAATAAAGAAAAGTTCTTTTGACACACATATGGAATAATCATCATTCTAGCTTAACTAGCCCAAAGCTTATTTAATTTTGAAGTTCGCGGGATTCGCTTGTTATCAGATACCACATATAATAGCATTCCATGTCGAAACACAACCTTACACATCAATTGACCTGGTACGTCTTTAAGGATAACAAGTAATCGTGGGTAAACTTTAACATTATAGCTGGTACATATCCAATGGTCGTACTTACGCATTAGGGCATACGCTAGAAAATATGATATAATGGATGCCAACAGAAAATACGTTTGTATATAAGATCACAGTATTTGATTTTACGCCGTCCACCTCTATAGCAGACAATGTTGTTTACAAACACAACGGGGCTTCTGTGTACACAGAAGGCTTCTGTATACAGAATGGGAAGTGTAGAGCAGTTGATGCTGCAACATCCAAAATAAGGATTTGCTTTTGTTTGTGATATGCTGCGCATTAGAATATTTGATACAATCATTTTACCGGTGTGACTGTATTTCTTGCATGGCACAAGCTATACAATAGTTACATTATTACTCATGTGCCTTGTCGAAATCCAACTTCACTCCAATGGTAAATTTAATGGGGTTTGACGTGCTGTTCGCTTCATTAGTAGGTTACAGATGAGTTAAACGTTGAAGTCGGTACGGAACGTAGTTAAATAATGAAACCTAACGATCCCACTTAGACCAACTGCAGGTTTAAGTAAAGCTTTATTTTGTAACTGAAGACCCCAACTAAAAAGAGAAATGAAGCAAGAAAATTAAGTGTGAACGTGTGGTGCCAAATAATTGTAATGTTTATGCATTTTACTTTTAACATGAGCTGCATCCAAAAAAGTTGTGCGCTCCCAGATCCGTAATATCATTTTGGTTGCCGGAGTGGCTGTGTGCTTAATCGGAAGACACCAGCGGGCACTGCCGTAAGTTGTAAGAACTTTCCTCTTGGACGAACTTTTTTCTCCCCACATAATCTACCCACATCCGCCCGCAAGCGACTTCATCCATTTTAGCTGAAACGTTATTAAATAAATTCGTCTCATATGCGTGTCTCAGCACAGCACGTTTTAAAGACCATTGGCACATTTGGTTCTGCAACCGACTTATAGGGAATCTTAAGCAAAATTTCTTCAGTTCATCGTGCGTCCTTCTATCATCGGCCGTCCTGATGGTTTTTCCTCTCTTCTGCCAGTGCCTAATGACTTTATTAGTAATAGATATTTCAACCGCGTAAAGCATTCTAGGGGTCATATCCGTGAGAAACACTTGCGTCTCGTTTGATCTCAAGGTCTATGTCTCTAGCTAACGATTGCTTAGTTTGTCTGCCTTCTGTCAGAGGCAGAAAAAACTTCTGTGTGGTGGTGGTGTATAGTATGTAGTCGCGTTGTTCTTTTCGATTTCACGTGCTTTTTGTGGATAGTTTTAGATCAAATTGTTATAATTGCTTCTTAGTTCTTCCGCGTACCGTGATTGTGTCTCTGACTTTTCTGAGTCAGTAAAACGGACTCGAGCGCGTTGATGAGATTGCGTGAGAAAATTGCATAAAAAAACGGCCTGTAATAGGTGAGACAATTCATACGTTGCATGAGAAAATTCAAACACATCACTGACCCTGGCATTATTGTCAGAATTAGAGTATCAGCGTTATTAAAGCAATAACATCTTTATCCAATCTAGCAGTTTACTTCCACTTGATTCACTTCATCAAATTTTATATTGAAGAGAACATATGTCTGTGATTATGTCTGTAGTATTTGTTTAACATCATGACACGGTGGGAGGCGAGTGGACAATATTTTAGCACGATGTGGAAGCTGAGCACGTTGACGACTATGAATCTTAAAAATACTAGTTTATACAGCCAAGTAACACTCGCTGATATATATATTTATGTATACATAGCAAAATATAACTTGGGTCACTCTGCTTGAAGTACCTTAGCGCCTCCGTACCAGCTAAACATTTAAAAACACTTGTTACTAATTAGAAGTTTGTATATTATCTAAAGCCTCGAAACGACCGAAGCCAGCTTTCTGGAACCTCTACATTTCATTGTTCGAAAAATAATAAAACCACGAAACAGTATCCTAGAGCAAATGGTGGCAATACTAAAATCGTCTACGAAGTTCTGGCTTTCATTGATGTGCCTTTCAGAGAGTGAGATGTCGTCTACATCAGATGAGGATGAATCGGTTCAAAACGCGAATGGTAAGATCGCACGTATTTGTTATTTGAAAGAAGCTCATGTGAGTTTTGCAGGAGCTGAGGTTTCTATTCCTTATATGGGAAAAGCTCCGTGCGGGCGAATAATTAGTTATTTGCTAAACAATTTTACTGAATATATATGTATGTATATAAGATGTCGAAACTCCAGTTCGGCTTTGCATTCATTTTATGTGTAGTAATAATCCTGTCTAAAAGTTGCTGTGGTAATCCAAAGAACGTAGTTGAATAGTGACAGTTGCAACGGACTATGTGCGTTTTCACAGGAGATACTGAAGGACTTAGTGGAAGCTTGAAAGTACCTTTACTACAGTACTCCTCGGTGATTTTACCTGCGACTCGTGTAACTCCTGCTTTTCTAGAGCAACACCAGGCAGTTTGTACAGCTTGCCGTACTCGGGTGCCGCATTTACGGACAAGAAGATTACGTGTTCATCCCACGTTATGCACAATTGTCTGCCGAGTGAGTTGTTTTTCAGATGATATATAGTTTTACGTAGTAAAATGCCAACGCTATGATAAGCTTTCCAATAAATCAGCTTCGCGTGGTACTTCGCTCTGTGGCTTCTCTTTCTGGGACTCATGAAATGCATCCTACTTGTATTGAGTGGTAGTGTTGGAACTCGAACTCAGAATATTTTTTTCTGATCTAATACCTGTGGCGCCCCGTTTATGCATTTTAAACTACAGCGAAGATCCAGGAAGACATAAAAATTTAGCAAGCCATACTGCGAACAGCAGACTTTGAATAGCATGGACATGCTTGGTCCACAAAAAAACTTTGCATACGAGTGAATGCTCGCTCGTCTGTACCATATATCCATCGTCTGCTGCAACAATTAAAACCGCGACGTCCCCCTGTGATGTCCTGCATATCACGTTTTTGATAAAATCCGCATGTTTAGGATAATTTGTCTGTGTATGATGCTGCTTATCTGTCTCACATTCAATATGTGATACATTTATTGTGATTCCATACATACCCAACGAGCAGCAACCACAAATACAGAGTAGCAAACGGGACAGGTATTAGCTGATTGTCACAACGATAATCGCTAATATTTATACATGTTTTAGGATAGCCAGTTTACAGAATACAAGCGAATCGATGCGATCTTGTCCTTACGAATTTTCTGTTGCAATCATACGATTATTACTAATGATTATATTATGCCTTAGATAGTTGCACATAATGTCAAATACTTCATCCTTGAAGAGTCCTGGCCGCAAAAGGCATTCCGTTTTCTTTTTTCTGGTTGGACTCTAACAATCGCTTTATTGCATTTAGTACATTTTTAGTTTAGTGCATAATACTCCACCGAACGTATTGCTTTACTGGAAACAAAAATAATTTATGATGATCTCACATTTTAGTGACCTCATGCGACAATATTTTAATATTTGTTAGCAGGTCCAACTAGACTCGAAACTTTTGGCGTAAAACTTCGATTTATGATACGTTTCTTAATCGGTAATTATTTAACATTTCAGAAATGTGAGGAGAAACTGATAGCGATTTTTAAATCAACGACTGGAATCGATGGTCGTCGGTGCCATTGGTGCGTCACGCCCATTTTACAGGAACCGTCAAATAGCGCATCCGCTGTCTTGGCGGAAAAGGGTGGTGCGCGATGCAATAACGTCCAATGTGGACAATTTGTGTGCCGATCCTGTCTGAAACAAAACCTAACGCGTGACCAACTACATGCTGTACGTGTTTCTCAGGAGAAAGGCGAATGGAAATGCTTTCGCTGTAATCCTCAGTTGATTCGGGTGGGTGTAGTTGCCAGCGGCCGATTTTTGTTTGCGTAGTCTAGCTACAGTACTTGACAAGTTATTCATGCAGTTTATTCGTATCCAAATGTTCATGATGATATTGATGCACTTACTTGTATACGGATTATTCATAGAATGTCAGTATAAGAACTCTTTTTTAAACAACCTTATTTGTTCACACAGCTGTGTAGCACCTTAGAACATATTTGGAAAGGCATTAAACATAGCTTCCTATTTCTTTTACGCTGCCTATTTCAAAGTAAGTTAGTTACCGGGTGATTTTTAAAGACATTTTGCTTATGTACGTATTTGAGTTTAATTAAGTAGAGAAATAGAAATCGGTCTTACTATTATGCAGTCGCGATAGGTGAGTAAAGGGCTCTTGCGTCCTAAAATATAATCTATGTGAACCGAGTAAACGGGTATGAGTGCAACGACGCATCCGTTTTTGTTGTGCCAACGTTTGAAAGTGCTAGCGCGGAGTTACGATTGGGTTCCAATTAATGGATGCGTAGCGGTAAAAATAATTATTTGCGTTTTTATTTCAGCCTCATCAGTTATATGCGGCAACGGTAGCGGAATATGTGCGTGTGCGTCGTAGGCCCGTCCTTTTGGCATCACCAGCAACTAATAACGACGAGGTACACCAAAACCTAACAGATACTAAAACAAACACTTTTTATGGTCTATGCCAGCAAGAAGTTGAAAAGCTGAGCAGCAGTGCACGATCTCTGGTCGAGGCCTGTGCGTTGTACACAACCAGACAGGATGGACAGAGCAGCTTAATAAATCAACTCGAGGTAAGCTATTAAGGTAACGACTACACCCACGTGCGAAGTATGTAGCAGATACGAGCAAGCAAACCATATGTGCATCAATTAATCGTTCCGTGATGAACGAGATTTATGGTTGCCGGTAAATGTTACGCTGGATAATTACCCGATTCTTTGAATAGCGAGGCACTTTTGCAGCCGATCAGTGTTTGTGAAGTGATTTGTTGATTAATTTGGTAATTGCGCGTAACAGCATGAACCCTTCTTACTAAAGATGCCGAAGATAACGATTTTTATAGGACATTTTACCAATATATATTATGTACTCCAGTATATTTAATTATGATTAGTCGAATGACATTGATTGAACTAATATAGTTTGTTTGACCGACTTTATAGACTGCCTTATTTTTATTTACTTGCTCAGGAGCACATCTTGTTGGCGGGACGCTTTTTGAAGCTCCAATCAAACCACGATAAATCACCGCAAGGAAACGTGTCATCTGGTATGTTTTAATGTTTCTTCGGCTGACCTCTCACATATAAAACTAACAGATAAAATGTCATATGTGCCAATATTCTAGATAGAGATATCCCTAAAGTATTAGGTTGGGGTTCTCAGGATAACCGACCAAAACTTACAACACGAGGTCTCAGAGAAAAACCTATATTTAGTAGTTTAATACGGTGGGTGCTTTAAACAGTTATTTGTTTATTTCGTTTAATGGTTCTAGCTACAGGCGACGCTACCTTCACCGACGCTCCGATGGGCAGTATACTTCCTGTACTGGACTACGACGAGAAGAATGTGTAAGTGCAAGATCCGCCGTTCAGTACCACTCAAATATGATTTTCATCTAACATATGTGAAATATAAACATTATTGTTTTTTTATTTTAGGCTGATTGATGTGATCCGCCAGCAAAATGAGGCACGAAAGGGCCAGCAGTCGGATGAACAGCGATTTCAGAAACTTGTTCACCCCGAAAATTTTAACGATCAAAGTACGCCTGTCGGAGAAAACACGGGTAAGTTGTTTGTGCTTTTCAACATTAAACAACCTGTTATTAGAAATTGATCGTGCGGTCGAACTATATGCTTTTGCTCGTTGTTGAGAATGAAGTTCGTAACAAACCGTGTAACTAATTTTATAAGTCAAGCAGATCTGTGTCTTACTTATTGTTAATATTTTGGTTTTTGGAATTAACCAGCAGGTAAGAAGACTGACGCTGGTCTGAAAAGTAAAGTATAACTCGAATTTAATGAAGTTCCACGCATCTCTCAACTTTTTTCTTATTCAGCTGCTTAATAACAATATGTTACTCGGCTAATTTTCAGCGGGTCGTGGTGACACTTCTTTGGTTTCATCGGAGTCAGCGTTAGAAACTACGGAAAATACAAAAGGCACATTGAATACACCGGCGTCTACAGCTTTAGAAAATATTTTAGCTCCAAGTAACATAAAAAATGAGATAGACCCAGATGAAATCGTTTATGACGAAGTAGCGTCAGCGTCTCCCAAAAGCATTAAAGAGAAGGTTTCAAACGATAATCATTGCTTGCCAGTCAACACTATAGATTTCGATAATGATTCTAAGGATTCCAATGCCACCGTAGATCTCCCGCTTGTGCCGAATAAAAGGTTTAATAAACAGAGGTTGTCAAATTCGTCAAAGATAGACGAAAATATACAGGGTACAGCCCATTCGGATAATGATGAGGATTGCGAGCTTCAGTCACTTCTAGCTGACATCGAACCGAGAAGGATTGTACAACACCAACGTGAGTAGACAGTCTATGCGATAACAGGACTACCACCTGTTAGTGTAAAATTGTAATGGGATTTCCACATTTTATAAGACTGAATATATGGTTTTTCTAGAAGTATACAGGTGACACTTATATACGTTTTGATTAGGCGAGTTGGTGAGTGATATAATAGATTTCTTCAATCTATAAACATTTGTCGTCATTAATAATCATTAAAATAAGGAGATTGTAAAAATCACAATTACTTAAAAATAAACACAACGACTCCAATTTTGTAATTGATAATTCCATAGATAACGGTAAGAAGAAACCGGGACCCAGTGGCAATGACACAAATGGCGATCTTAAACCAAAATCATCTGACGCCAAGGTGAAGAAGGAAATGTCAGGTATCTCAAAAAGCCGTGCTCCGTTCGCTTCGTCCGATGAAGAAGCGGGAGGCGTTGGTGGTCTGAACTTGTCACAACCGTGCGACTACGGACCAATTATCGTTCTTTCGGAGTGTGAAGGCTTGTCGGATCTTATGAGTGACGAAGACGATGATGAAGATGATGACATGGAAATTTACGTTGAAGAAGATGAGAGTCAAGATTCACATGAGCATAGCCATAGTAATAGATCACTTTCAGTCTCTGAGCACAACACTCGTGAAGATACGGATGGTGATGTGATGCAAGTCGTCGATGAGAGGGACGATAAACAAGATAGAGGGCCTCATACGGAAGGCAGCAATGTATTGAGCAACAAAGCTAATGGTACTCAGAACAAGAAAGTTTTGCTGAAGCGTTTGATCCCAAGTATGCCTATGGCGGATACGGATGCCAGTAACTCTGAAGATGAGGAAAAGAGCGGAGCTTGTGCAAGGCTAATGAAACCGAGAAGGAAGCTATCCAATGTTAAAAGACGACTGGTTAGTGACATATGGTAGAACAGAAAAATGGAAAAATACGATTATTTTAGGTAGACAATAAGTTTCGGTTCGGGACTACAATAGTAATAGTACGAATGTAGCATCATTTAAAAACCCCGTAAAAACAAGACCGCTTCATTTTGTACAAACATTTTGTTCTGGGTGAAAAGATATCAAGACGAGTGTCCTAGACGGGCTTCGCTACTTCCATACGTCAACACGTCGGCATTTTTTGCTCAGCCAAGAAAGTGACCGACCACAATGTTCTAAAGCAATTTTGGAGGTTAGTGACGCTTTTATTCGAGCGGTTTTATAAATCTCCCAGAAAAGACTCGAGAAGCTAACTGAGACTTTTTCTTATTAACGTCGATAATTTAAATTATTCAGATGTTCTAACTGTGTTTAATTAAAATTTATAAGTCGCAGATTAGCTCATCGGAAGACGACTCCAGTAGCAATGAGTGGAAGCGACCGAGAATCGGGTCGGATAACCAGTTAGAGCTCTCATCTACTCGGACAGCAAATTTAGATCTGGGCAGTGAAATAAGCGGAAATCCTATGTCTAGAACTAATGACAATCCATCTGGTAGTACGGATGTTCGTCCCGGTGATCCGGTGAAGTCAGCTACTGTGTCGAAAACAAAATTGCCCCAAGATGTTTTGGTTGTAATGGACTCCGACGATGATGTCATCGTTTCGAAGGAAGAAATGGGCCATGGAAAGCAAAAAAAAGTGGCCACTTCCGTGCCTCCTGTCAAGAAGTTTTCAAAACAAGCAATTAAGGTAAGAAGCTCTGCACGCTAAAAGCTTTTTGCGTTTCTAGATTATAAAGTTTTGGTAGTTTTATGTACCTACACCTTAAGTTAAATGCTGTCTTGATAAAGATTTCTCTTCCATAAAATTTCTATAATAGAACGGGTCATGGATACATGTACCAAGTAGAGTGACAGTTTTCTTGAAACGTTCTGCTATACTATGGTACGCATCTTTGGCCAAATATCTAGATGAGCCTTTTTCTAGAAATTCAGTTCAAAACATTTAGTCCAAAAGGTCGTTTTTCGTTAAACCATTTTTACCCCACCGATAAAGAGAGTGGTTTGCTATTGCTTGCAGGCAGAGTTTGACCCATGTGTGATTTCCAGTGATGACGATGAGCCTGCTACACAGCGGCTCACGTTTCCGTCCGTATCAAACGGTATACAGTCAAAAGGAGAGATCCCTGCACCTGGAAGTGCACCGACAGGTAGACGCAACATTCGAGAGGTGATGGATGAAAACAAACTGTCAGGATCGACACGCGAGGCTAATGCCGCCGAACGCGAACGTCGTCAACGGATCGAGGAGCTACAAAACAAGTATAACCAATTTGAGCGGAGCTTTGAACAGATGGCTGGCCCAGATGGTGGCAAGTGTGTCTTGGAATACGATATGACAACTAAGAAGCCGCTGGTTGAAGTACATCCGAGTTTAGCTCGCCGTCTTAAAAAACACCAAAGCGAAGGGATTAAATTCCTGTATCGTAATCTTATCGAAACGGTATCTCGACTCAAATGCAAAGAAGCGTGTACCGGTGCCATTCTAGCACATTGTATGGGTAAATGTTTATGAACGGTTAAACGAAGAAACTGTGGGTGGATCGATATAATTTAAATTCATTTCGAAAAAAAGCAGAATACTGATAAACTATATTTTTTTTATAGAGTTATAGAGAAATATTTCAGTAGTTCATATAAGACACATGGCAGTTCTGTATTATAATTATGATAAAAAAAAAATGTTGCACAAAATGTTCAGAAGATCAAATTCTGAACGGCTGGTAAATTTCATGGAGATATACTGCGCTTTAATGAAGGTTCTTGTAAATTCTGATTTCAACCATACTATCCTAATATCTACTGATGAAGAATAGGAAAAGGATATATCACAAAAAAATGTTACTGAAATCCCCCAAATTCAGTTTTTTTTATTCTGTCTAGTGCTTGTGTGTGGTTTTTATAAACTGTTCACAAAAATCGACGAAACGAACTAGTTAGAGAATTTAGAATGAAACGAATAATCACCTCGATTCTTAGACTGCAAGCTTTATTTTTTTAATTAATATTGTCAAAACTGTCAAGTTGATTACTTGATTTTAAATCTAAAACCAGTTTTTTTTTGTCGCTAGCTTTGCGCATACCATTGACTGTTTTGGTTTGTGTCCTGATCGTGTGAATATCTTCAAATGCCACATTACAATAAAATGGGTGTACCCCAAGCACTCATTTCCGTGACGTTATTTGTTTCCCTACAATAGTAGTTCTCAGGGAAAATTATATTGTAGAAGGGTTTGTGTCCTATGTATCTATGCTTTTTGTGTAGATCCTAAACTATTTTTATTTATTTATTTATTTCTTGCAGGTCTTGGTAAGACTTTTCAGGTCATTTGTCTTGTGCATACCTTACTCACCCACCCATTATTAAAAGAACACTTCAAGACAGTTTTAGTCGTATGTCCGCTAAACGTTGTCAACGCGTGGCGTTGCGAAATCGAACAGTGGATTAAGCGAGATGACACAATTCAGGAAAAGTTCATGGTTAGTATACCAAGCTTCTATTTCCTTGTTATTATATTTACATTCTACCCTAGTCGCTTGCTGCTCATATATACAGGCGTTGGATATTTTTTTTTACTACCTCAGGCGAGCAATGTCTGATAAAAATTTATATGTAGAATCATCGATCGCCGGTGTATCAGCCTTATTCAAATGTTTCTGTTCGAACAAGATACTCTTCAGAAAGATCGGTATAAAACGCCATTTTATCATGAACTTGAATCGACATATAAAAGTGCAGTGTTTATGACACTCCCGTACACGATAGGATCATGCACCTGCCATGACATATGTATATTGCACTGTGTAAAGATTTAAAATGACTAAGCTTGTCAGGCCGCGCTTCGGCTATTTATTGAAAGTTCATTGGGTAAAAGTCGTTAAGACAACAGCGGCAATGTAGTAGATCTGTTAGGGAGTCCGAATACATTAAGTTATTGCAGACCATATAAGTTAGATTTGTCGCACCTCATTATCTGGCGTGTATTGTTCAAATATCCCAGTGTTCGGCCTAACGAAATTTACACATTTTGGGGCCCCAGTCTGCAGCCCATGTGAAGCGTCTTACGTTTACTGCAACAGGTCGAAGGGTAACTGCAACGTACGTATTTTTTTTTACTGCAAACCATCTTTTTAGTCGATCCGCATTTCTACCTGATGGGATCGATGACCATTATACGAAAATCCTTACGCAATATGCCACCAGCCATATAGTAGGTCTGAAGTAACTGTGCGTTTCAGACCTTAAGTAGAAAATTTAATCACTTTCCTTTTTTACTGGATTTTTATTACAGAGACATTTAAAAAAAAAAACCGTAATTAGATTAAGCTGATTGGGGCGATGTGGGGCGTAGCATGGGATAATGTTGTTGAAGCTTCTCTATAGAATTTTTAAGCGCAGTCTATAAGGTTGGACTTTATATAATTAGGGAGTTTAAAGAAAGTATCCGACATGAAGTTTTGTTGCGCCAGTCTACTAAAAATTGTGAATTTTCATTTTATTCTTCTAAAAAAAAATGTTGAGGCGGCCGTTCGGCTGACATAGTATTGAAATATCACAGTAGGAATTACCGTTAGTAGCATAATCTTCATATTATGCATATTTGACGAATGGGAGCTCGACATCGAAACGTTTGAAATGAATGATCATGCATGGGTTTTAGGTTCATCAAACTAATGACTCTTTGTCGATGACAGCTGGGGTTGTAGCCGGGCTGATGTCAAAATTCAATTGGATCTAAGTCGCGCGTTCGAATTTGGATATCCGAAAAAAAATGTTTGAAGTTTTTGCTCACAAAAAAAACCTATTTACACAGCGAGGATGACGGTCATGACCTGAGATAGCAAATTGTTGAAGGCTGACTAATAGTGAAATTCAAAAACTTCAGGGGCCAGAATTATTAGGTACTCCTGACCAAGAATTGTCCAAAAACCTAATGCGAACGATCTGAATACTAGCACATTAAAAATAAGCAACAGTAATAATGTGAATTCTAATAACGATAAACCTCATTTCTAGATTCGTCTCTAAGCCTGTTTGTTCCTTCACTATGTTGAGACATAATTTAATGACACGATTTAACCATTTTGAGAATCTGCTTTTGCCTTGAAAACCTGACGTGTCGCTTATTATTTTATTGGGAATAACAATTATAATGTATGTAATGATGTATGCATATGTACCTAACAAAGTGCCGCCTGATATTTTTTAGCTATATAATCTACATCATGAAAAGGACCAAATCTTGCGCGAATCTTTAATGAGTAAATGGACCCGTTCAGGTGGGGTTTTACTGATAACACCAAACCTGCTTACTGTTCTGCTTGGCGCGGAAACGGAGGCGGGACAAAGGAAACGCCAAAGGCTGCTGAAATTAAACAAAAATAACGCGGCGCGAGTTAAACCCAACTCTGCTAGCATGAACAAGATGAAAAGCTTCCTCTGTAAGTTGTTATTTGATGAGTGTTACTTCTATCCTATGTATGTTTGCTATGTACAGAATCTAAGCTGATATATATAGAACAGATGAAACTGACTGAAGAACGAGCAATCGTTATTCTTTTTTATTTGACAATGTAACGGAAAGTTAACGCTTGTAAATATAGATTAATTGTCAAATTTTGTCAAATCATCCAACCTCTTGCGCATTTTACATCACTGCGTATTAATCGTGGCATTAAAGGGGATCCCGGCGCATCTGTGGTCGTTGTCGACGAGGGTCACACGCTTAAAAATAGCGACACGCAAGTAACGCAGGTAGTCCAGATGATGAAAACACGAAGAAAAATTCTCCTCACTGGCACACCGCTACAAAACAATCTTGTAGAGTACTACACGATGGTTTCGTTGGTTTCTCCAGATCTCCTTGGAACGAAGCAAGAATTCAAGAACCGTTTCGAAAATCCGATATCGAATGGGCAATACAAAAACTCAACTGTCGAAGATATTCAAAAAATGCGGAGACGCGCCAGTGTCCTCAATAAGTTACTTAATAATGTTGTCCAGAGGTAAGGAAGAACTTTTCTATTATAAGAAGCGAGTAAACTTACATAAGAAGAGAACCAATTGTGCATTTAAAATGAATAGATTTATCAACACTTCTTGGAGTTTCGTGACAAGGTAGTAGAAATATATATTGGATTAGATTAGTCAGATTTTGTGTAAGCCGAAACATTAGGTTGTAATAATGGATTTGGGATTTTATATTTCAAGTGCGCCATACATCCCACTAAACAAAATTTGTGGTATGTAGAATATAGTACTGATATTTCGTTTATGTATCTTTTGCTCAGGAGAGATATGTCTGTGTTGGCAAGCATCTTACCGCCTCGACAAGATTACGTCCTCACAATTCGACTTTCACCGCTGCAAGAGCGACTTTACAGTGAATTTCTAGGCATGCTAATTAAGCGCGCAGAGGAACAGCCAAACAACAATGGCCCGACTTTTAAGCGTCTTCTGCAAGATTTTGTATTGCTTAGATCAACATGGACCCATCCGAAGCTATTGGTGATGCCACGAAAAACCTGTCCAAAAAAGCAAAAGGTAGCAACCTTAGTTGATATGCTGGTCTTTGATTCGATCACACCTGAGCAGGATGCACAGCTTACGCAGAAAGACTGGTATAGACCGCATCTGGAAGGAACGGATTTGGATGATATCGCACTCGGTCCTAAACTCTTCATATTGTTCGACATTATTCAACAATGCACACTCATCGAGGACAAACTCGTCGTGTTTTGTACCCAGCTCAGTGCTCTTGACCTTATTGAATATCTTCTTCGACTGATGCACGAGAATCGCATTGGAGGACACAGTTGGGTTAAGAACAAAGATTTCTTCCGCATGGATGGTACGACTACTGCGGAAGATCGTCAGAGATTCTTTGGGATGTTTAACGACCCTGATAAACCATGGGCGCGATTATTTTTGGTTAGCACTAACGCCGGTAAACTTGGTTCAACCCTTATCGGAGCCAATAGAATGGTGCTTCTTGACACAAGCTGGAATCCATCAGACGATAACCAAGCCGTATATAGGTGGGACATCTTCCGATTCATTCGCGTATCTACGTCAGAGTTGTCAATTAGATAATAAGGAAATAAAAAGAAGTTGGACTGTTCGATTGAATATGAAAAAGTGTATGTAGTTGTAGAAATATTATATACTATTCGAGTTTCTAGACGGTCCCGTGGTACGTATTACTGGTAATATATCCATCGACTAGCATTCTAGCATGGCGTAGTTGTTATTTCTGTTCTAAAAAAATTATGGTTCTGCAAAATTGTCTTATTCCAGAATATACCGTATTGGGCAGACAAAACCTGTCTATATTTACCGGTTCGTTTCATTTGGAACCATGGAAGAGAAAATTTACGCCCGCAATATACTTAAGGAGAGTACGCAACATCGCGTTTTAGATGATTCAAATATGGAGCGACATTTTACGCATGAGGACGTGCGTGATCTCTACCTCTTTACTCCATATGAAGAGTCTGAAAAAGTCCTACCTCCCGTACCGAAGGTACGTTTAGCAACCACTATTTATTTTGCAAAGGCTTTGTGCTAAAAGCTTTCTCACGTACAACTCTTATACTGCGAATTCATTCCGATAGCCAGGATCGCTGACAAAATAATGCGATCAGTTGAGAACGTCTCCTATATTAGAAGTGCTGTCATACGGCTTGAACATCTGACCCATGGTTTTTGTCAAACCATATTTCGTTATTTAACTAAACGATCGATGTAAGCTATGCGACCACGTCCTAGCTCACTCATATGGACCTGAATAAATTTGTTGAAGGAAAAACCAATTAAATAGCCAGTGTGTTGCAAAGACGTTGATTTTGTAATATTTGCAATTATCAAATATTATTGACTACAAACTTCCTCATACTTGTCATAATTGCAACTGTTCTTGCAGGATCGTCTCTTGGCTGAATTAATTCTACGACAGAAAGACAATATTGTGAAAGTACACGAACACCAACAAATGCTACAAAATCTTGAGGATGATCTTTCGGAAGAGGACCGTCGCATAGCATGGGAAGAATACCAGAGAGAAAAAGACGCTCCTCCTGGTCAGCAAGGAGCACAGGAAAGTGCTGGTGATACAGCATTTTCCAAACCACCAGCATTATTAGTCGTCGCAGATCAGCTGCTTGGACAAGTAGCACAATTTAGTGCTATTTTTAATAATCCAAACGTACCCGAAGAAGACAAACGAAAGATGATAGGACAATACCTAAAAAAAACGAAGCAGGCGAGAGACAAATATGAGCAAGTAACCAAGATAGACCATCAAATGTTGACCGAATGTATTCGTCTGAAACATCCGCTTGAAGTAACTAACAAAATCGTGAGCCGGAGGCAGATTGTCAACTCCAAAATTGAGCTGCTTAATGAAGAACTTCGACAGGTATAGCGCGCCAACCTGTAATTTGAGTTTTATCTTTTTCATAGTTAACAGAAGTTAACTTAGAAGCATCAGTGGAAACAGCTGCGTCATGCCGATCACAGAAGCGTTCAAAAAAAATTATTACTTTATTGCTAAAAGATTGCTACATTGTTTTGTTGCACGGTTCAAAATTTTTTCCAACTCAAGAATATCACATATAGCACGTACGGGTTAGGAAACGAAACCCTATTAGTAAAGTGGTCGCTCTCTCCTTTAACTATAACTTCTTTATTATAACTAGCAAGATACTGGAAATATAGCAAACACAAGGTTAGCCACAAATGTGTAGTCTAAATTTTACATTGTGTTTACTCCGCGAGATCAGTACCCTTAAAAATGTAACTTCTAATTATAAAGCCATAATTTTTTAGCATTATTGCTCGAACTTGTGCCTTACATAACAGACTGATTCATTGCGCTATTGGTTAGTCGAAGTTCGGTTCAACCAAGTAATATCAAACCATCATGCTTTGCTATTTTTTGCAGATCAACGATTTCATCAAAAGGCTTCAGCAGACTCCGATTAGACGCGCGCTGTCGTAATAACTAAAATTGCAAAATACAGGATCCTAGCGCTACCATTGAAGCCAGCGGATCATCAAAGCTTTAATCTGATGGACCTTGAGAAAGGATACCTTTATTACTTAAGGACACTCCTCGCAGCAGATTGTTGCTGGAAAAGAGCGCGCTGTGTATGTCATTCATGATACTCCGGTCGAATTTTCAACTTTGTATGCAACATATGTCCGACTATACTGTTAGAAAGATTGCCGCATAGCTATTAGGTAACTATATACGAAAATGACATTGTAATTAAGCATATGTATATATTTTAAAAGAGATTTTTCTATTTTCTGAAAAAATATAGTTAATCTAATCCACGATATAGTTCCAAAACGTATGGCTTCATTTAAATTGAACACGTAAATACCGTGATGAGTTTTATGGTCTAAGAACATTCATATCATAAATGGAAGCTGCGTTTTGTATAGACAATAAACTGAATAAGCGCCGAACATATGCATACTGCATTTAAATATTTTGCAGTTAACTAAAATCGTTTGTTGATTGCCGTTGGACTTTGCGAAATTATTGGCGAATTCCGCAAGGCTTTGCTCGCAGTTGACAAATGCACGCACAAACACAATGACCTCTAACAAGCTCAATCTATTTTCCTTAGTTAGCTAACTGGTCCGGGGACTGTGGATGCTTCATTAAATATTACTACTTCAGGTAATCTCGCCTACGAAAATACTGCAATACAATGATACATTTCATTATTTCCTTGGCTACTAATAGTGTTAATGTTGAAAAATAGGGTTTTATGAAGCAACTTGATCAGGCTTACGGTAATTTATTTTAAGAGGGTATTTTTGTCAAGTTAGTTTGTTTACGCACACATCTAAATGGTATTTTAGTACCCCCAGAATGTAGCTGGTTTAACATATATAGCAGTCACCTCAAATAGCTTCGGAGTTTTTTCTGCTTTTGACCGATGTGAACGCTTGTTGTGAACTATTCATTAGGTTGTCATGAAAGTTATCTAAATTTCATTAAACTAAGTTTGTCTACTAGGCTTAAATATTTCAGTATATTGTATTGGTGTGATGCATACTTATGTATCTAGCTTAAGGTAACATAAATTGTATAGCTATGTTTGGGCTTATGGGACATATACCTATCCGTAAAATAAAAAGTAATTCTACCTTGTATTACTAAGCGTTAATAGTTATGTACGACTAATAAGAGGTCGTTGCAAAATGTGCCGTAGAAATGCGTGAATTGGATGAGGATCGCGGTGCACCAACTACACAAAATATTTTCTTAATGTTCACTCTCTATATCTTGTCTTAGATAGCATCGATCATGACATAATTATAGCATGACCTTTCCGTAAACAAAGATTCCGTCTTCGTTTTACCTCTGCACGCAAGATTCTTTGACAATATGTTACAGCATTAAGTGTCAGCAATAAACGGGTAATTTTTTAATAATTCTGGTTCTTTCTTTAAAAAATGCTCTCCGATAACGACCCAAGGTCTCTTCCTGACTCTCCTCTTTGCATAGCAACTCTCGTTGGTCTTTACAGTGTCGTGTCGAATAAACGCGACCACATACTTTTTGCTTGCAACATTTTTTTTAAATCGTACATGTGTATTGGCTCAAAAATTATGCGCACTGTTAAATCAGCATGACTATTATATTACTTATTCTGGCATCGTGAAATTTCCCTCAACTGATCCAATGCGCGTCTTTTCAAGCATCACTCAGATTTAACGATACGAGTGGGATACGTGTGGACTGTTCCATCGTTGCTGCACAAATTATGCTATAATTATCACCGGGTTGTTTTTTTGGTGCGAGTGTGGACCTCATGCAGGGAACTTTTAGCGCGCCATTGCAAGTGTCGAGCAGAGAGCTGATGACGACAATGATTCCATCAATCAGAATTTGCCTTGCTGGAAACAACGTTGCGGTAGGACCCTTGTTTCCGACGAGCCTGTTTCTGATAAAGGAACAGGCAGTTCCTTTCCAGGACAATTTCAAGACGGGTACCGGCAACCACGTCATTCGCTCACCAAGACCATAAGCGTAGCGTAAGGGATATCGCTCTTCTTACTCACTTGTGTTAATACCTGTATAATTAACTTCTGCGAAGGAGAGACTGAATACGCCTGGCTTCAGGTCCAATTCTTGCTTTCATATCTACTAGACTACTTGTAGATGATGGCCAGCGGATAGATAGTTCGTGCGGAAATATATTGATTTTAAATTTCTTGCTTACGCCACGTGGTTTGAGAACGTCAGTACCTATACATATCTATTCCAAATAACAAGAGGTTGGGTAAACTTGTTAGAGCTTAGTCGAACTTTGAAAGTTTCACAAAAAATCTCTTGTCAATGCAGTGTTTTGTTCTCCTTTTTTTCTTCAAATAGATATCAAGATAAGATTCCCGCTCGCGCTACAGGAAAACCATATACAAACTGAAAAAAATTAGGAAAAAGTGAATACAAATTATACAATTCTGAGTATCTTTAGTGATCGTCGTCCACTATGTGAAAAAATATAATAACCGTATCATTGAATTTTAATGCTTTCCTATATGCTATCCTATACCAGGAGCATCACAGACCAACAGAGAGCTGTATCGGCTAGTGGCTACGCAATTGCTGAAGCAGCACATATGATTACTACCAAAAAACGATAACGACTGCCGTCGAGGGAACAAGCTCTCAGCAAAATGGCGAGTAATTATGCTCGTAAAAGAAAGGAATCGGTTGAGACCAGCAGCCAAACAGCAAACCGTACGCTTAACTAGAAGAGAGCTACAGTGTGATTAGGCAACTATAATCTTAGTACCATATATGTCCCAGCAACTTTGCGGTTTCGGCGATTGTTTTGGCAATCGTGTTTAGGAGTCTGATGACACTGCCAAAAAGATTTCTGACTTGCAGCCACAGACTACGCTTAATATTTTAACACTGTAATAATATATTATTCTGGAGCTGTGAGAAAAGGATTTGAAGAAGAAGTAAGATGTCGCAAGCAAATGGGACCAAAACAGCGCTCACCTACGTTCAAAATGACCAACTATGTCGAGAATATTAGACGGGTTCTCTTAATAAATGACAAAGCCGGCGTTGGGCCCATAATAAAGGTCACGTGAGAGAAGCCCCCGCTGAAGTAATGCTAACGCACATCCATTAAACATTCCCGAAGGCCAGATAGCCTTTTCTACAAGGTCGAGAAATTGAGGTTTATTTAGTGTTATTGTAGCAAGGTGAGTTTCACACTATGCACGACTCATATGTATTCGCCTAGGTCCTGTACAAAAAAAAATTAGAGGTTCAAGAGGAGCCAGTGGGAACCGTTTACTACGACAGGTAAAAACGGCAGAAATGTTGAAGAACTAAATCAATGTCCGACATAAACACGTACCTAATGTCAATGCTGAGCTGTGCCCGCCACCTGTAAAAGTGGTGGTCCAAAAAAAAGACTAGAGATATGGCTAGTTCACTACTGGGCGGCAGGTGCCAAGCAGATCGCCGAGGGTTCTAATCATGAACACCAAGCTAGGCGACTAACGAGTTTACTTTCCCATATTCAAAATTTTGCAGTAATCAACGTCAATTCTGTCCGAGAAGAGAAGCGTGGATTGCTTAGGAGAGCGCCTGCTACCTGGAATACGACGGTCTGACCAACTGGCCGACGCATATTTACCTCTGGAATAAAAGTTCAGGGTCGAGAGGGGACTGCCCAGACAAAAACAAGATGGATAGATCGAACAGGTACAACTGAGATATGCACCTAGAGCTGAGCCTGACGTATACGTTAGGATTCGCACATGTGCTAAGGTGGTACAGCCTAGGTTTACTAATGCAATGCCGGAAAAACGAGACTATAGAGACATAAAAAAACTATTGCCTAAATATGAATAGTACTGGGAGCCAGCCGCCTAAGGTAGTACCTAATTATATAAGTACCGGACGTATGACAATAAAAATATATAAATATAAACATTGGGTGTAACGATAAATACAAATGCCTAATATTGAACTATACACACCGCGAGAGAAATATGTGTCAGTATTAATGTTGCGTAAAAGATGTTTGGCAGAAAAACATTTCCAACAACGAAGAATTTCCAAAATTAAGCGTGTATTTGTAAAAAAAAAGATCGAATAGATAGGTCGAGACTAGTAAACAAGGCTAAGGCGAGTGAATCACTTACTGATGAACTTCTTAATTGAGCGTATCGATAATCGCCCGCATCACGAAACATTAGTCTATAGGACAATGATTTGCTCTGTAAATACAAGTGACACAATATCATATAAATGATTACATCAGGTAAATCCAAGCGAAAATATACAAGACAGAATACATACTATGGATAGCAAGCGTTTCAACATGGTATATGACATTCCAAATATGATCACTATGACTATACGCAAAAGAAATGACCGCTACATTACTACACGACATTTTACCACAAGACCTTCAGAAAATGAGACATGGCACATGGAGCGGAAAACGTTTTGTCATTTAAGCCATCTAAAAGTACACAAAATTTCCTTTCTGAGGCAATAGGTCAAAGCCAGAAAGAGTTCTATAAATACAGGATAAAAGACTGGCAGAAAACCATTTAAATATCTAAGGACTACGTTACAAAATAAAAACTACCTCTTCAAACAGGATAAATTAAGAGTCAAAAATCGGCCGGAGTATTCAGGATGTCTTAATGTATAGGAGGTTTGAGATTTGCAAAGATTACTGGAAAGTCATAACCGTACTAAACCAAATATACAGAAAGGCGATGGCAGCAACGTCTGAGACTACCAAATAGGTACCAAAAGGAAAATAAAAGGAAAAAGAAAAAGAAAGGATATGCGACAAGCGATCAAAATTTCTCAACAATGAATTACAGTAGTTTCATCCTGAGTAACTGAATTCTCATAGCAAAATTAAGTTTTTAATTAAATAAGTAAATAACACCTTTACTTCCGTGTCGCACTGACAATGACGAAACCTTTGGAGAAAAATTGACATGGTACAAGAGAAGCACAGAGAAAGCTCTACAGACGAGAACGAATATGAGTTTAGTTGTCAATAAATGAGGAGCCACGCTTGAAACAGTGGTACGTAGTTATCGAAGGGCAAATGTCGCAAGTGGTTATAAACCATACTCGAGACAATATGACGATCAGAGATGAAGCCTTTTAATGTATATATGGATCACGAGAATAGAGTGCTTTTGTTACGATAAAATATGAAGTCTACTACTGACACGCCTAATAAGGCCGTACGCCAGATTATTCTGACAAGTCTTTAAACCCAGAATATAAGGATGATGTAAAAAGTGTGGAACGTAACCAAAAATTGTAACACACGCTGATAAAACAAGGAAAACTCCAACAAAGGTCACTTGGCCAAGCTAACAAACCGGAACTTCAAAAGAGAATAGATTTCATCACTATTCAGGAGATCGAGAGAACACTATGGATCCGCAGGTGGAAGGCCCGAATTACATGTTGGGAAACTCGCATCATTTATCCGGGCGGGCACATAAATTATTGAAGCCCTCGGAAGTTTCAGTCACTGCAAACAACTTCGTCTTGATTTTACCATTTAATAATCTGTAAGGTAACCAATTTTTTGTTATAAAATTCTTCCTCTAATGCATAGCTGGGCTTAACACATCATTTTACACACAAAGGTTACCGCTTACATTCGTCAAGACTCGGCCGCTTAATCAGAGAAATGGGGACTGAAAAACGACGGAGATATTTGAAACATGCTGATACATGTACTCCAATAGATAAAATACTGTCGAGATAGGACCATGTCTGAATGGTGATTTCTGTTGCAAAGAAAGTCAAATGTTTTTAAAACAGAACGGAAAGTAATTTATCGTAGGGGAAGCTAAGTCCACAAATAAATACTTACTGTATGATCGAAAGGAGAGTAACTAAACAATAATTATCTCCAGATCACTGGCCGAACTTAGATACATTTGCGCGTATTTTAGACGACAGCGGGGATCAAGCGGGTTTTTGCATAAACTCCTCCGAAAGCGAAAATTGAAACAAGTCTCAAAGTCGAGACTTATTTGATCTAGCCAGATCAAGCAATGTCCCTCGAACTTATGCTGGATTGCAAGACTGTTTCAACAATAGTTGTAGGGAACACTTAGGCGCAACTGCCTCGTCAGTAGCGACAGCTGCAGGAAATAGCCAGTGGAGAGTTTGTATCCACTAAAGGACAGCACAGTAACCGCAGTCATCTAAAGGGAGTAGAATCTACTTATGATCTGTTAAATGGAAAATCGGGAAAAAATGCGTCAACGAGGGAACCAGCTTTACTCAAACGGAAAGTAACGGAGTTATTGAGTCTATTTTGTATGTTGCCGCATGTTTTCCTCATTGTACATTAAAATTCCAACTTAAGGTACAATAGTTCTTTATAAACGAATATAATTCTGCGGATGCTTCTCAAGTCAATGCAATCTTACTATGCAGACTGACGGTTTGTATCAAATTTATTAACGTTTTTGTTTCATTACGCTATGGCTGCTTATTTGTCGTCCGTTGGCAGCATTAATGAGACATAATATTTATTCTAATCCAACGATATCGCACATACTTCCACATCTGTCATTATCCGCTTAATAAAAAAGAATTTCGCAGTTGAACTTAACAGAGAGAAACGCCGAAAAGTTTCCAAAAATATGTTAGAGCCGAGCTGTCACAGTCACGAAGGTCACTGATCAGTTGCATTGTAAGACTCGTTTTGGTAATAAACCTTCGACTACGGTGGTTAAAGACGAAAAAGTGCAAGTACTTTTTATAGGCTCGGATTCTGAAGGCGATAGATTTTTTGAAAACAGGGTGCAGTTGCATTGAGACACTTTACAATGTCAACACTGAACGGTGTGTTCATGAGTAATATTTTTGCGGACGTATCAGTAGAAGGTGGTACCTGATATAAGAAATAGGGTATTTTAGAAAACTGAATAAAAATTACTCCAGTCCCCGGTAATTGTATACATGAGTGTAGGATCTCTGGCGAGCAAACACGATAGGCAGCCAAATGAGGCACAGTATATTAATGTGGATTATAAAAAGGCTTTTCTGTCTGGCCTACTCGGTCGATTGAAGGCAAATCTCAGGTGTCCTTGTAAGTAGAGCTTGTGTTACATTAGTCACAAACTGCGTCCAGTGAACATGAACTAATTGTTAATTAATTAGAACGTCAATTTGTGGCATACCCTGGTTGCGGAACGGATGATATTTTGGGCCATTGCGTTAAGTGCCCTAGTAAGTGACTTAACATGTTATATAACATGTGTTTTCGAGATTGCAACCGTCTACATTTAATACAAGAATATCTTAATACTATTTGCTAATTGTACGTGATAAATCGAAACGAAAGTATTAAAAACAAACTAGTTTCCATAAACATCTCCCATTCTTTCAGTCTTAGCACATAGCTAAAGGATTTTCAGTTTGACACGTTGGTGCATGAAGTTGACACTTATTACATATGTGCATCCTCTGATGCGTAGTTTAAATGTCCATACTCTAGCTAACACGTTAACACCGATAAGAGCACAGGAACAGTTTTAATATTACAACTTTGTCTGCTGGCGGCAGCTTACTTCGGTTATGCTGTGGCACTATACCGTTTGTTTACAGAGACGACTTGCCATTACTTATAAAACTAATTTTGAAATTCCGACATTGCCGACTATTCAAACATAGATTGGCAAGGTATGTGCCGAATATTTTTCGACAAATGACGCGTTTATGATGTTCCTAACCGTAAATCCCTAGAAAACTTAGGAAATTCATCGTCTTCTAAAGTAGCAGGTCAAGACTACTTTGACCAGCAACCCCAAATTCAACAGTGACACAATTGAGAGTTTACTTTTGGTGATAGCACAAACATGCTTCGAGCATTGGTTTTATTGCACCTTCAGCAATTGCCACTTGGCGTACTTTGTAGTAAGCATGAAGAATAACTCACTGTCTATCCTAACACTAGCCATTACGGAGAAAATACAATAAATCGCTGAGTTAATTTTCGTCAGCAAGATACCACGAGAGTTATTTTTAACCAGCTCTGATAGTATTACATTTACTGTTAGTAGCAGTAGTTTATCGGTATCTATCCGTTACGTGGTTTCTAATTGTTTTGTCGTTAGAAAAATTCCTCTAGTACTTCCTTTACTGCTCTTTAACGGACGCATGCCTACTCTGAAATAGTGGGCTATGACTACTGAGGTTCTGCTGCTTACATCAAAACCTCTTTCAGCGTTACTTGAAGGAGAAACAATAACAAAAAAGGAACGCGTTAGAGGCAGAGAAGTGCCAAAAAATGTTTTTAGTATTCTCAAAATGTACAAAAAACTATTTCGTAAGTTCTTTCGTCTCATGTCACGCTTGTTAATATACATTTTTTTTTCGGGAAAACAAGCTTATTTTAGCCAGCTTCGTTGTTCTACTTGTACAATGTTATTCTCCTTAAGTATTTTTCGAACTCCACGACAGGCTTGTATCAGGTCAACCGGCAAATAGTCCTATCGAAATGGTGGTAACCGAGACGCATAGATTAAGTTAAAGAAGAAACAAAATGGGTGCGTGTGGGTATATGATAGCTAGTCAAACTATTTTAACATGTTTTGTTCAATAGGAGATGCTTTTTACGAAAATTTTCTTGTAAATTATTCCAAACTGGAATTATTAAACATATCTGACCTTGACTTTGTGTGTTATATGGCGAAATGAATGGTTTAACGTTAAAAGGGGATGCATCGGTTGTTATCGTGGGCGAAGAACTAACAAAATGCAATGTGAAGGTCATCCGAATCATGATGTGTACGAAACAAAGGCTTCTAATTGGCACTCCTCTACAATAGAATATGACGAAGTATTACTATACTTTGGTGTCCCCCGTAACGCCAGATCTGTTGAGAACCAAAGCTGGGTTTAAAAGTCTATTTAAGAATTAATCCTACTGTATTGTAATGGCTAGTACGGCGACTCAATTAATGGAGACATTCGTAAGATGAAAATGCGTACGTCTGCATTAAGTGAACTCTTAATCCACGTTGTTCAAAATTACTCGAACTTTTTCTAATAATAGCCATGATTAGCCTAAGTTTCACTAGTTGGTCCAGTATTCAGAAAGTAAACAATAAGGCCCTATTAATACTAATGGCCTGTCAGGAATACGTAAGTAGCTGCTTGCTGAAATCTCCAATAAATAAATACGTTCAAGGCAGTGGAATCCTAAAATTACGAGCAGTTTGAGTTACATTAAAATAATTTAGAAACATGGACGACGGCGGTAATGGCTGCGAATGTAACGCCCAGGTTGACATTTTGTAATCTGCCCAAGTTTCTTGTATATTTAATAATAATCTAAATGTGCATGTAAAGCGGAAGTCAGTTCTATTAAAGACTGCTGCCGATCTTCAGAAGGGACATTATCGCGTGAGGAACGCATTACTTACACAGCGAAAGTATGTCCTTGTAATTCGGGAGTCGTCTCTGCAAAACAGCCTGTATCGCCAATTCCTTGGGATGCTCAATTACGTCTATATGTTCAGGCATTTTCTGATTAATTACCTTTTTCTTAGGTCAACGTCGACTCATCCAAAACTTCTAACCATGCCTCGAGAAACCTTATGAAGGACCGGAAATAACCGTGCCTGACACGCTCAGATCCGCGTCAGTTTCATTTGAGCACGATATGCGAAGTGGCCGAAATCACTTATACATACCATTTCGTTAAGAAGAAAACCTGGGCGACTTTTCCCTCGGCCTGAAGCGTATATTCTATTTCGAAAGGCGTTTGGGCATCGGAGACAAACACTTATTTTTTTATACAATTTAAGATACTTGATTTGTCTCAGGTTTCGTGCTCGTTCCAGAAATAGGACAAAAGTATAGATTTGAATAAGTGCTGACGACCAATAGTTTTTCAAGATAATAATCCTTAGTATTCTGTTTGTTCTGGTCGGCAAACAGGCAGGAAGGCTTAGTTCTACATTAATCGATGCGTAGAGAATAATGGAGCTGAAAAGAAGCTGGAACACGCCCGATGATAATCAAACATTTTATAAGTAAGATTCGACACGCAGAAAACTTGTTTGCTTAAAGAAATATTAAAAGAAAACCAATTGGTAACAACATTGACACCATTGATTTTGAACTTCTTAGTAGCGCTATAAATATATATATACGCTTGATACGCTGAAGGTGATGAATAGTCACCAATTTAAAATTATCATAATAAAATGTTTGCTAAAAATTTTCAAAGACTATGTCTGACGAAGGCTGTCAGGGAACCTGGATTGGGTTCTAAGAAAAACAGAGGCTAGAGTCTTCAAATTTTGCTCCAGCTAAACAAGTGTATCTTCGAGTAACTAATCACGAAGAAATGCCGTTATAAGTGAGTCAGCATGGGCAAAATAAAGCTTTCTGGAAAAAGGCATATATTTTTTCTATTCTATATTTTTAACTCATCTGTTTTTTCGAGCCAACGCCAAGCAAACGACCTTTGTTGTATGTAAAAATATGTGGTAAAACGCGGCGCCCTTTCGAAAACTTGGTCGTGCGTGTAGTTAGAAGTTGGCTTAAATCTAATGAAAATTATGCGTATATCTTCTTTAAACGTAGGCACCTTTTTCTTCGAAATTTCTGATCCGCCTTATATCAAAAACAACCAAGCTCGGGTCAACCAAGTGTTCAATTTCTAAAAGAGCCTATTCCTTCAGGTGGCCCTGTGCTTATTGGACGACTCTTCGATGAAATAGCGAACTTATCCAGATTTTGAACAACCCATGCCCATTATTAAGTTATTATTAAAAGGACAGTCAGAAGCAGAGCGCAGTTTCTATGCCAGTGATTGCGATAAAATCATTCCAAAACGCAATTCCATTCTTAGTGAAGCTTGACATTATTGAAATGAAAGCTTGCAGCACCTATTCGCCCGTTGCAGTCCAATGAAGTCCGCGATTTCTAGCAGACCGTACGAACACCACGGTCACTTATCAGCAGGCTCGTATGTGACGAGAATTATTGCTTCCGATGTTTTAAATTAAATTGATTACGCGACCTTACTGCTACCATTTGTGTGGAGTCTCCAAGCAGGAAGCAAGGTGATTCGGTGTAGTTATCCCACGCTCAGCTCTCCGCCATTTGTTGACTGACCGAACTTCGTTCTAATCATCGAACAGAACATCGTGAAGATCCTGCCGTCGACTGCCAGCGCAAATGATTGGTTTAAGCTAATAGCTCGATTAGTGCAGAGAGTAGTCTGTTGTTGTGGGAGTAAATAGTTGAAGCACTGACTGTAATTGATATATGAAAAAGGTTTAATTGTTTGTACCAGATAAAGCAGATGCTTGAAGTCTCAAGAAACTAGCGAGATGGTGAACGATACGCTAAAGTATCATGGCTTATTGAGGGAAGTTATATCACCATGCGTAAAGAATCAGATATAAATTTTAGTTTGGTGATGCAAAATCCTAGTGAAGATTTGCTTAAATGTTGCTTCTCCAATGGTTGAATATCGAATAGCTCAACGTTTGATGTCACAATTATATTGCGATTTGGAATTGTCCTTAGCGAGCCTAATTCAACGGATGTGTTACTGATGCGTCGCGCTATTCGATTTGCGCGTCTAAGTATCTGGGATCTTCAATAGAAGATAGTTTAGATTATTATTATTTGACGTCGTTTGTGTGGAGATGCTTATTTTAGTCAGTCATCATGAAATCGTGCAGCGATCTTCCTTATCACATTATGCTATCGAACCCATTTGTATTGGACAAATTACCGCAGACTAAACGCTCCAAACGGTGTACACAGACGGTCAAAAATGTCCGACACAGTGTCCGTACGCTGCCGTACATCAAACCGCTATCAATTGCTTAATGATTTGTAAACATTTGCTCAAGTAAAAAATATGTGGGATCCTAAGTCTAGGCTATACTGGAAGCGTGGTTAGTTCGAATCCAGAATCTTTTTTCAGCAGTTAAACGTGGTGAAAGAATGAAAATCCAAGTAAAAAAAAAATCAAATTTCCTGAACGCGCTGATGATTGCAGTCGGCGTCATCGCATCTCCTCCGAGGAGACAAATTAAACAAGTAATCATTTCTTAATGAAATCTTCACTCTTTTACTGCAAGGAAACCCACCGTGGTGTCGGTTGATGTATTGTGTTATGTGTGAGAGTGTTGATTGGTAAGTGAACTTCATTGACGAATATTTTTGTTAACTTTTGCGTCGTGTATACCATGAAACACATGGCGACGTCACACACTGATACTGCCCAGTGGTCAAATAGTATTATGATCGAAAAGACACTATAAATGTCAAGATCAGAAAAAAGAAGTAAATGTATCGGCAAGAAATAGTGGCAATTGTCTTGGAGCAGATATGTTGTAGCAGAATATTTAATATTTTTTGCCATTATCTGCCATACAGTATTATTGGCTTCTGACAGAAGTTCCAAAGCACTGTTTGTGGCATGTAAAACCCAGTTTTTTTTTCCAAATGATGTATTCTTTTAGGTATAATGATAGATTTTTTTATACGAAACAAAAAATAATTAGTATAACGTTAATACAAGATTGTATTTAAAGTAGAATATATTATTGGATTAGGATGTGAAGTTTTCGTCTGACCGTACCTAGAGTTAGCATGAATTGTACTTAAGTCAACATGGAGTCCGCTCTCACAACTAGATCTAAATAAATACTGCACAAAACGTAGTTTTGTCGCCTTGTGAATCTTTATCTCTATTATCCTTTTTCTTAAGTATGCATATATAACGGTTTAGATATTTCTGTGCTATATCATATATATCTAGGCATTTTTAGAACGACTTCGGCGTCACAGTAATTATTTAGATGGTGAGTTAGTCTATCGCCAATTATTTACTGATTTATGTTTCGAATCTGCCCCTGAGTTGCAGCTTTTATATATTGTATATTGAATCAGCGCGGATATGAACCGCGAGGCATTACTACAGAGGTCATTCAGGAGGAATCCGAATCCGTTACCTTTTTTTTCTCTAGCCCATTTCAGTCCCGATCGAAAACCCGTAAAGAACAAGCCTACGTTGCGGCGTGTCGGCCTCAGTATGAAATGCCATATACCATATCTGCTTTCCTCTAACAGGACCATAAAACATCTTAGTAACTATATAGCAAATTAGCCAGTTGCTAGCGCCAAAATATGAACCAACGATGACCCCGTGTTCATGCTGACAACAGCAGCCTATTCTAAGGGATGCGCATTAATCACGCACTAACTATTTTTGTATCTAACTATCTTACAGTCCTAGTATACAAATGGACCCTTCGTCTGTTGATTTTTATAAAAAATATCCAGGTTCTTTGATATTTTCTTCTCAAGGAATTCTGAAGATCACAAGCTCGAATTATTACGAGTCCATTAAAACTGTATACAAAAGTTTCCCAAAATTGCCGTTTACCAGAACCAGTATAGCAGTCTCATTCTTAAACCTATCACATGCGCTGCCCAAAGCCCACTACAACTCATTGCCTGTAATTGTCACTTAAGAACTCTCAACAACAAATAAAAGAACAGCTGGTATCGTGAATTACTCTCCAGTTGTAAAAGAATTGCGTGTTTCCTTAAATCTTCAATAAATCCTTCAACACTGAATTCATTTTGTGTGCGTTGTATGAATGTGGCATAACGTAGGCCAAATTCAAATGCGCCATCTCCTTTGTATAGCAAATTGGAAACGCTCTACTGAGAAGTTGCCAATGTCCTTTATCTAGTATAGGTCGTTGTGACGATGATGACGGCAAAAAACCAAAAAAACTGTAGCTTCCATAAGTGAACGCACCGCGATTCCGCCCGGTCCAGCTGATTTCCGCACTATGCCCAAAAATGATAATACGGCAAGGATAACCTATGGAACAATAATTAATTTTACATAGATCGTCGCCAGATGATACAGAAGCCGGTTTCGCATCTGCCAACGGCTCACGTATGATTGCATCGAAAAAAATTGGAAGTGAGGATAATTGCAATTTGGACGAGTTCGGCTTAGGACTCGGGCATCATACGAAAGATGCAAGCTTACTTCTATCGCAACCTGATCCTCACCGATAGCTCAGCCCCTAGACTACGTTCTAGCAATTTTGTCTAGCCATCTAAACGTCCACGATTCGCGGTCACTTTTTGCTGTCATTGAATGGAGAATCGTACAAAAGTTGTCGAAACAGACTTTGTCAAGCAAGTAAAACGCATCGTGGAAACCGTAAACGATAATTTCTATTATATGCATCTATTCATAGGAAAAGTAAAACATTCGCTTGATCGCAGCTGCTTCTGCAAAAATCGTATATGTACTGCGAGTTACTCATACCAAGATCTGATTTGGTTTTGTGTCTTCTTTTTCAGGTGTCGAGTAAGCATTACTGTGAGGATCACGTTGATAAATCGACCCAATCAGGAATAATCTATTTCGCTGCATAGTTCGAGAATGATAAGCTATGAAATATAAAGACGTACTCTGTTCGGCGTCCGGTGTCGCCGTTGGGCATTCCGTCAGACAGACGGCTAACTGCCAGCGCAAAACGAGATTTGCTTATCTGTGCCCGGGTTTGAACCTGGACCATAACGTGTTACGTTACATGTTGGTCATCGACTTTTTTAACAAAACATGTTTTCTAGCTAGGGAGAAATTGACTTAATATTATTAATCTTAGTGTCTGACGTCCGGCCATGGTAATACCGTCTTTACTATTTAATATATTAGATAATAAATTTAAGGAAAAGCATGTTGACACGCTTGCGAAGCAAATGTATAGAATCAACCATTTTCATAACGGTAAATCCGAAGTAAGTTTGATGTAGTAGATATCACATTATCCCTTATCGCATCATATTTAGAGGTATTACTACAAGTCGTGGCTTTAACATAATTTAACTTATACAGAGGGCCCCTGATACTTGGAGAATGGAAGCGTACAGTACCTTCCAACCTATCCAATAACGCAAGCTGGGAAAATACCATAAAGCTATAAATAAACCTGAACAAAAAACAACATGTGCTTACGATGGGATTAGATGATACGAATGGTTTCAGATAGATCTTAAGGTGTTCAATGTAAACTTAAAAGAATATACACATCTTGGGAATAAATTATTGCTGTTGTTCATGATGCAAAGAAGTTTAGAAAGGTGGAGATACCGACCATTTTCTCAATGGCCACTTCTTCCAGAATACCTAAGCAAAATTTTCGTGCTATCTAGTTCAAAACCTCTATTTCAAGTGTCGGACAAATTTCAAAAGAATATTTTATATATTGTTCGATTCGAAGAAGTGGGGTAATTTTCGAGTTATACTTAGCCCTATAAATTATTCGCTCGTCTTTTATTATATATATATATATATATATGAAATTAATACATAATACTGGTCGTCGTCGGTTGAGAATGTGTTATTTATACTTTCAGTTTTGATTGCGCATCAGGCAAGTTACCAAAAATAATGCTAATATATTGCAACGGTTACGTTGAGAGTAAGAGCTTTAAGACGTTGTTAGGACATGCAATGAGCATTCTTCTGTTGCTTACAATAGATTCTGACATAGCCTTTCTGTTGTCCTAGCAATTGTAGCCCTAGTGATTTCAGACTTTTTATACCTCAATGTATTCTATACCAGACTTTCAAGGACTCGGTATTTTGAAGCTTCGATATAAATGTCCTATAGTATCGTCTCACGATCATTTACAAGTCACGAGAAACTCTGTTAATACACGTATGCGTTTAGGAATTTCAAAATGAGCTCCAGTAGATCAGAAAGGAGGCGTAAGTTCACAGCGTGGAAAATATAGCCTTACATTTTGAATGATCGTAGTTTGCATTTACATGACATGAAACCATCTATGATGTTTACTTTCTATTTGGTCAAGGCAGCTCTTCCATTCTTAACATGAGCAAATATCCTAAGTTGTTGTAGGCAGAATAGCAGATGATGCTTGAGTCTCTGATTAGGTATTGATTTTGATTAGTCTGCTGCTAGATGAGAGAGATACTTGCGGATTGCCTACAATATTTATTCAAGAAATTCACGTATCTTCTTATGGTGTTAAACCGTCATCAGATAACGTGTTTGGTTATCCTGAAGCCTAGGATCTCTTCAAGCAACTTAGGACGAGCACATGCAAGAGTTAAACACTACACGTACACAATCGGCCAGCAAACACGCGACAACTAAGTATAACTATAGCATCGGTGTCATCAAGGCAGAAATTCGTTGTTGTTTCTGTTCCATCATAGACAACTATGTTCTCCTAATTTTCACGAAGTTCACTACACCTAACACTTTTGCGAGGCAAGCGGCATAAAAAGTAGATTGAGTGCTGTCGCATTATCAATAAAATGCTGCTTGTGTTTCGAAATACGGTATCTTTATTTTGTATGATGTAACTTTGATTTATTGGCAGACCCTCGAATAAACCTGTCCTTGTTTCGAGATTAAGTTATACACCTGAATGAGTGGCTAGGTCAATACAGCTTATAATAGATATATGTACTACAGAGCTGTTGGGTAATTGGTTAATAGGTTTGAAAATTACGCGCGGCAAACTTCTTGTCATTATTCATACTACCAAAATTCTAATGAAGTTAGTACACTGTTATGCACAATCAAGGTAAGAAAAAAAGTTTAGATACTGTAACTTATAGATTTTTAATTTGTAGCGACGGCTAATAGCAAACTAACACCCATTGTTTTATTCATTATGCGTTACTCTCTAATATTAGTAATTTTATTTACGTAAGAACACCTCATACATCCATTGTTAATTTTGCCACTAGTAGGTGGGATGCGTCGGTTGCCATCCCCGCTGTAGTCGATTGTATACTGCGTGATAGTAATAATAGCCAAGGCTCAAATCTTATTAAGTCAGGTCCGTTTTCATTTTTAAAGATAGTAATTATTTTTTTACACTTCTCAAGCAGTTGTGAAGGTTGTTTGCTCTGTTGACTTCTGAATTAACGCCACCATAAAGGGTATAGTTGAAAGGCATGCATCTTCAAGGATATCAATATGTGTAAGTACGTATGTTTGCATAAGTGCAATCGTTTTTTTTACTTTTTTTTTTTACCCTTTTACTGCTACTCTAACAGTGACAACCTCTGTAAATGCATTGGATTTGTTGGGACGACCGAATAGGGAAAAAACATGAATGGGAAATGTAATACTTGCAAATAAAACAGTTTATATATATATATATATATATAATATATATATAAAAGACGAGCCCTTTTTTAATGTTTGTTTACACTAGATCAATTAATAGGGTTATAGTTTTTGACGCTGAATGCCCGCGACCTTAGAGTCGTCATGACTTCAAGCACAATTTTAAAGTTCATATTCTAAGTCGTATTAAGGCAGCCCAATATCCGAGGTTCGGATTTGATAAGGGATTGATCAAGTGAGCAACACCCTCCGACAACTATTAAACAGGCGAGTGACAACGGGGGCGCGGTTGCATGTTTATATATGCTGTTATTATTTGTCTGCGGACGTAATATATGATTGCACAGTAATTTCTTATTTGTCTTTTAAGTACTTCTTTCAATATCAGTAATTTCGTACACCTTGCTTGAATGGCCTCGTTAAGAACTTGATATTCGTTTAGGGAAAATTCTTTGCCTGTAACCGATTTTCTATGTTTTCTATAGATACTGAATAATTTTGAATCTAATAATTTCATAAATGATGTTTTCAATTCGAAGAAAAGTACTGACTTGGTTGATGTCCTTATTTCGAAATTGCCAATCTACCTATTTTTAGTTTAAAAGGGATTAACACAATCAATGGTACAAGGAAAAAAATTCCTATGACATTACTGATACAATAAGACGGCATTTGCTGAGTTCACTTTTGAGCTAGACTGGCCAACCGGCAATATCTGGCTTGGATATATGAACCTGTAGAAAAACCATCTTGCGCAATAGCGAGCGAACTATGCAAATTTTCACGATATACTGCTGAATTTGTTATCTACATTCGCGAAAAAATGGTTTACCAATTCGATTATTAGGGCAGTTTGTGAAAAGCTTGAGTCGGTCTCGTTTTTTTTTAAGTTATAAGAAATAATCAACCACGATATGAACAAATCAGCACTAGGATGCAAATTATTTATTTAAACGGGAGCGGACAAATATATATACCAATAATTTCCCGTGAGAGTATTAGTCAAAAACATCTTTTTACCGTAATTTACTATATTTCTGGTTTCTTACTCTTGTAAGCGAATTATGATTTGTCACTTTCCTAAAAAACGAACGCGATTATTTAGGAAATCGTAAGTAAACAAGGACGAAAAGTATATATATAAAAAAAGTTTCGTTAAAAGTGCCAGCAATCTTAACTTACGAGTCATGACCTCATATATAGCCCATAAGCAACTAGCGCTTTAGCTCCATAATAGAGATTCGCCTGCGAGATCAGCAGTAGCTGGCACTCGATTTGCACAAACCTGGCCACGTAACAAACGTTTGTAAGAAACACCTCGCAATGCTACGCCACTAAAAAGTACCACATTCGTCCCAATTACGTTAATATTACACTAATGAGAAGCTTTCCTTCATCGCCGCTAACACGCTCAAGACTGAACTCTCTGATAGACCTCTCTGAACAACGATAGGCTTTGCTATGACCTCCAGACAGCGTTGCCGTGAGTTTTTCTTGATAGCTTCAATTCGCTCTCGATATTACCAACTACAATAGGGCTAAGGAAATTTACCTGCTCGGATTATTTTGACAAACGGTAGTAATCGTAATGATCCCTGATGTGCAGCATATTCGCGTGTCTGTTAGCGACAGCCCTATATGAGTTCAGCAAAACGATCGACGAGCATTTAGAACTGGGCTTACACTTATGTGTACCTCGCTGCTGAATTATAAGAGTTACCCAGCGAATCTGTAGAGGGTCGAATAGTTTGGTCAGTTGGAGCTTTTTTAACGCATAACTTAATAACGATTGATAGTAATAAGAGTAGGAATCGATGCAGCGTCATGGACAGATACGTCCTTGGCTCCGAATGTGGACGGATTTGGCTTAAATTGCCGTTCTATTTAAGTGCTGGGCTGAAAATATGGCTGTATGTGAGTTTAGAGAAATTTCTACGTTGCAAGCTTTTTAATGAAGTGCAATGTATGTAACGGCAGGCAGAATCAGCTTTTCGTAAAATCAAAAATATGCCAATACAGTGTATTTACTTAGTTCTGTCTAGAAATGAAATCTAGACACACGAACACTTACTGCGAGAGCACATATTATACGTTGTCCCTGAACCATAAAAACGAAAGCTGGTAGTAGAATTTACTCGTTTAAGACCCATGTACAGTTTATATGTTATGCTTAGTTACGATCAAAGATCACTGCGCCACACGCTCTATATATGCTTCTTACATTTGTGTCGGATGCATGTACACATATATTTTTTTTATTAAGGGGGTGTGAGTAATAGTATTTGCGCATAATTGGGCCTGGCAAGACATGTCTATTCAACGTGGCCTGATGAAAAAGGGCTCGGTCCTGACGAGTGGTCTTTATTGCCCCACGGCCACTACCCACCTATTTTCCATTCCTCTTTTATACGTCACACCAGCAGGCCTACCCTTCAATAGATTCTACGATAGACCATTTGGAGGGGGTGGCTGGTGTCATCAAGTCATTAGGCCAGGGTCACCACGGTCGGGTTCCGAATCGTTCCCTATATTCCCTGCAGCTATTATTAGCCTAAAGGCCAAATGGCATGCTTTAGAATAAAATATACAAGGCTGTGTCCACTTTTATTCCCTGGAAGACACACACAAAGCACTCTGTAGTGCTTTGTTTTTATCGATAGTCACTTTGTTACCTTCTTTGTGCATACACGTACGTGCGGCTATAGTCCCGATAGAGCCCAGTGAATGACGTTTTGCTGGAGGAAGAAGCATAGTTTCTTTGGGCACAATATCTGACTTCTTAAAGATTCAGCTGTTGCCGGTATGTTCTACACTGTACTAGTAGTATAGTGTAGTTTTGCTATAAGCCATAGTGTATCATAAGCTATAGATGGGTGCTGAATGACTACATGCAAATGCACTAGAGGACAGGGGAGCTTTGTGTACCTTTAGGCGTCAACCTTGAATTTGCGGCGGCTAGGATTCACGTCTAGTTAAGTGAATTATTGGTAGAATCGACTTTAGGCCCACCGACGTACCTCCTACCGTCTTTTTCAGTCTGATTCGGTATTAAGTAACTATACTCTTTTTGCACCAATTAAAAATTAAGCTACAGTCGAACTCTAACCTGTAACCACTTAAACGGCGTTTGTTCAAGTTAGAATATATTGCCGCAGCAAATTGTCTACTTCAAACGAATCATATTTGTCTGTAGAAAGTATTTTGGGAAACAAATAAACTTCGTTGCTTTGGGTGCATAATTTTTCATACGCCCCTTTTAGGACTTTTTGAAACGTATAGCACTTTCGTTAGCAAATGTATAAATGGAAGGTAATAATACTGTAAATTATTTCTAGCTGTTGCGTCAGTCGACATATGGCTATAGTGCATATGTATGGCATTTTTCATGACCGAATCAAAAAAAAAGATACTTTTTGCGCGCTAGTTAGTTACATAGTCACTAGATAGCCCTACGTTTGAAAAACCTACGTTTTATACAAGGATTCTATGAAGTATATGATCGTTTGCATGCTTAATATGACTAGATATTTTAAGGGCGGAGTTGATTATACATTCCGTTTCGCTACCTCGCCCTCGATGCATCAGTGACATTCATCGCTATCTGATACTCAACAGACTTTTCTAGCTAAAAGCTTCATTCAAAATAGCGATCGAAGTTTCCACGTGTCCAAATTGAAGATGTCTTTCGCGTGCTGTTTTTTAAAATGAATAAAAAACAGATACTATTGTGCATCGTTCTTTGTACTGGATTATGTCAAACAGGTTTAGAATAGAATTGAATTAGTCTCGACAATTCTAGTACGATTTCGTTGTATTCAACATCGATGCCAACAAGGTACATTTTTAGATAATCTGCACCAAGTATCCACTGTGAGCGTGGACGGCGACCCGTTTCAAATTCCTTATCGAAGCGTTGTGGGCTTTCAGCCCTTTATACAGAAGCACTTTACGATATCTAGTCTACGCGGCTATTCATTAACGGTTAATGATCCCAATTGTTAACTCCTCTTGGCTGCTTGGCGATAGGTTAGGTATATTCGGTCATCATGTACATCGGCTGTTCAGTGCCTTCATTAAAGCCAAAGCGAGAACACTCCCAGTACTCTAACGGGCCGAAGAACGATACTAAGGAAGAGTTCTATGGCGAATAACTTAAAAAAACAAAGGGACGCTCTTAAGCAGTTCAATGGTAATAAAATGGACATGCGTCAATGAAAATCTCGAATGAGCAGTTAGTTTTTATAAATATAGCCAAGTACCCATGGCTTAGCAGTGATTCAATTAATGTATATATATGTAGAATGGTAATATATGCACGCAAGCGAAATTTGGCGATACTGAGCTGGAATACAGACCTCTGTTTCGTGGATCTTAAAATCGCCGAACTCCTCATAGCGAAAATAGTCGATTTCCGTAGGATTCAAAAATATGGCAATGTCGTCTGCTGAATATATACAACGATTCATGCGGAACCGGCTCGCAGAATTGACTTTGACGGAAGTTTGAGAATCTGACTGAGCATCAGACGTGGATCAGTATCGAACATGTCAATCTTGTTTTCGAGTCTATCAAAGTCGAGACTCGGGTTAGAAAGGAACTAGATCTAGATATAGAGATGCAGGCAAAAAAGCAATCCACAGAAACGTATTGATTATGTCACGTCGTAACTAGCGATTCAACCGATATAACGTCACCATACAGGTCTGAGAGGTTTGCGATTGATTTTGACAGAGCGATGATTAGCGAAAACGCTCCTGAGATATTGGACTAAAACGGAAAATGAGATCCAACATTCAGTCGGAGCAAGTTGACAGTTGAACAGAACTCACACCATAGTGTCCAGTTACTAGAAAATCAACAAACCTGTTCAGATACCAGAAATAATGAGAAAACGCGAAATCCTAGACGAGTTCGTTATTATAATGCTACATAATGAACAAGCAAGCACTGTTCTGCCGAGACTGAATAAAATCAGGTTACTAGCAAAAATTTAGTCCAGCTAGTTTCTTTACGAAGTATTTTTTTTAGCGAAAATCCCCGAATTTAATTTTTGCGCTTGGACACAACACAGTCAGCATGCGATGAGACGCCGCATCGTCGCTGCATGAGACCTGCGTCGCAGAGGCTGATACCCGTAATAGGGACGAAACGTCATCTTTGTTTCTAGGTTACGTATGTCCAATCGAAATTTTCTGATGAGGTCCGTACTTCGCAGTACTGAACAGTGTTGTTAGAGGATGCATATGTTTCAGCGAACTTTTGGTGTCGCACGTGACGCCCAAAAGTTCAATGAGCCACTACAAAGTCCACTATATTAAAAAGCAGATACTGGGCAATTTCTTATGTCAGGGTAAACTTTGAAAAGACGAACTGGCTTCGCTGGCGGCGGTATCACCCATGAAAAAGGACATTTCATTCGACACAGTTGGGCGGTAGTCCACTAAAAGAATTAGTCTATCGTGGACGCACTTTACCAAATAATCTCTGGCCTAGACGGTCTTGAGGTACAAGTCCGCAATCTGATTGCCTATATCTGGCTAAGAACATATGAGGTCTAAAGACTACAGGCTTAACTTGGACTCGGGGTCTAATTAGGAGACAGCCACCATCAGAACGAATGTAACATGATGAGTTCATCTTTTTATTGTTTTGTATATTTTTATAAATACTGAATTTATAAAGATGAAGTGTATTCATTCATATGGATGAGCGTATGGGGCAATTCAGCTAACAACCGATTTGAAAAGAACTTAGTGCTAAAACCCATTGCTCATTGCTATGACGACTCGTAATTCTTTATTGCTTGTGTTAAAACTTCAATTACAAACCATTGGTCGTGGTGCAGAGCTAGCACATTTCCATAAATACCATGTTGAATCCCTTTAATACGTTATGCCCCTTTAAGGCTCACTTGATGGCTTGTCTTTATTTGATCTCAAGTCCACACCTGGATAGTTTTTCTCGAATTTCTAAGCTTCCTTCAAGCCATTATACCGTTTAGATAAGCAAGGTCGACACTTCAATACAGGGTATTATAGCCAGTCGGTTTCGTTATAGGAATGTGCAAAGTGCCATCCTTAACGTCTCGTGTCTTTTTTTGACTGGTCAAACGGGTTTTGTCAAATCGATCCTAAGAGTTAGCCAGGGGTGGCAAGCGGAGCCTGACTGTGAATTTTTCACGGATTCATCGATGGTTGTTCCAAGGAAGAGCCTGAGACCACATCGGCCTACGGTATGATTTTCGTGATAACAAGCCGACGCAAAGGCAGCACATTTATAACAGCAGATGGATAAAGACCCCTGCACTGCGCACTTTCTACATTTCGTTCGGTTAGTTTCCGTTATTAAAGAGAAGCTTGTGCTTGGTTCATTCTATTGAAGGCGGCCGTTTTTAGTTCTTGATACGAGGGAATAGTATGGAAATATTTAAAGTGACACATTTTATCAGTAATAACAACAATAAAACGATATCCGTACAAAAATTCAAATTGGCGGGCTCGTCGTATTCTACCTGAGTAGATAAAGCTTCGTAATTCTATGGCGTATTCATTTCTATGCATTTGCAAATACGTCATAAGAATTGTCATAGAATAAAACTAAACATCACTTTAACTGTCAGCGGCAATATAATAGAAGGTGTCAGTTATATAATGGGAGTACGTATATGATACGTAAATATTACAGGTAATCTCAATAACTGAATCATACTTCTTGTCGCTTACCTTATTGAAGGTCCTACAAATTTAAAGCAAGCATTCTATTTTTCGGGCATAAGTTTCCCCATTGAGAGTAGCGCGATTATCGGTCAATAGTAAACAAAGTGTTATAAAATCACGAAATTTAAGAAAAATCTAGCACTGTCGGGTGGTACACGCAATATATGGCTTGTTTATGCCCAATGGTCTAGTTGCCGAAATGTATTTTCTAAAAAAAAAACAAGCGATATTTTCAGGATATAGTTGTTAATTTTTATGACGCACGTGATGCGCGAATAGAGTTGGCTTCTGACAGACATTTACTTCTATCTATGGAGAGGTAATTGCTTTGGTCATTTCAAAGGAATCGTCAGTACATCGCTGGTTCATAAAGACACACGTATATTATGTGAAGCGTTCCCCTGCAAGGAAAATCTAGATTTATTCTGAATCAGTTAAGCTTTCTGGAAACCTTCCAATAAAAGCGGTTCATGCTTAAAATTATTTTTATTTTAGAAATCTAATAGGATGTTTTTAATTATCCAACTCGCGTACCATTTATTTTGCGTTGTTCACATTACTAATATGCTTTTACTTCATCCGCACTCAGTGACGCATTTGTTTCTGCCCGAATAGGCCCTTCCTGGGTTTTATAATCAGAAATTTAACCATCCATATTCTACGAGAAAACGCTTACTTAACACCGGTTCTCCTTTGGCACGTTCCGCTAGACTTGAATGAGTTCTTTTTATTTGACCGAAGGTAGCGAGTAAAAGCCCTGTAGGCTGCGACAATCATTGATAGCTATAGTAGCTTGCTAGCTGGCGACCTATATAAACGTTATTATCAGTTATGGTGAAGACAAATTTCTAATTTCGTGTTAGCCCCCACGACAAAAGGGATGAATCGTGCCAATGGGTTGAAATTAAGCGGACCCCCAATCCGTACTGCAGATTCACTGAAACCTAGCTCACCTAACAGTCATTTCAACAACGAGATAACAGAGGAAGAAGCATTACGATCATATATCGATGCTACTCTTCCAAGCTATTATTATTATCTTGCTAACACAGCCTAACGAAAACGATACGATAATGGCAGTGATATTATTATGATTCTACCGTAATATAACAGCCATCAGGTGCGTTTATGTCACTGACTTCTTCCCGATCGCTCTCGGCTCAATAGAATAACTACGATTTTTGCAGTTGTCTACTGATTATGTTCAGGGGAAGATGTTTGAAGAAGGCAGAATCTCGTTAGAAATGCATAAAGCTATTACAAATAGAAGGTACATTTTCCAACCTAACGAAT